ATTAGATACAAAAATAAATCCCTGTAGTATGCAGTGCTGTGTATTTATTATACTGAGAGACAGACAGAGGAGTACATTATTACTGAACTAATGCGAGTTAGATGCATCAAATTGATCTTTGAAAAAAAGTATCACAATAATAAGAAGACAATACGTCTGCTTCACATATCTATCTTTCCACGTAAAACAAAAAAATACCCCAAAATGTTTCTTACACGACCCATCAGCCGCACGGCATTGATTCAAGACACGCAAACTCTGGACCGGATTCGACATGAAGCGTCTCATCAGCAGTCGGGCGAGTATGTGGGCTTGGGTAGATCACATCACCAGAGAAGAGGGACGATAGCTGATGGACAGGACTGGCGACGGAATGCCACTGTGAGGGCGACCACCTGTGGAAATGGAGCAGTGAGATCAGTTCGTGTGGAGGAGTGAGATGGATTGTGGCACCGCAGGGCCATGAGGGTTGTCAGTTCATGCTGTCGTGGATAGGTAACGACTGACGTTGATGCAGCGTACAGAACAACATCGCAGAGTCGGACTCGCCGGGGAGTGAGGCGGAGGCGAATATGTGAAAAGGTCGGTTACGTGAGCATCTACAGAAGATGGCAGGTTACACCGTGCGTGCACTCATAGATCACTGGACAGAAATAATGCGCAAACGGCTTTAAACACGGAGACAACGCTTCGCTGTGCTCAACAAGTGAACGGATGTACGCGACATTGACGTGCGTTGCTGTTTGCGAAAAAATGTCAGATTTGTGAATATCTCCGCACACAGAGACAATAGACACCACGCACAAACACTGCACTGGGCGTGCGCTGTTAGTTGATCGGGGCGGATATTACGTGACTCTGGGATATGCCAAGTTGTACCGCACCTATATTAATATATATATTTTTTAAACGTTGAATCTAATCCACGGTTGTTAAGACAAGACGATCAATACCCACGTAATTTTGTTTGAATCGTCATTTATCTATATTAAGCTACACACCTCTCAGTGTTGTGTAGAATACTCTGGAGCGTTGCCAATATCACCGCAGCTCCTTGGGCTTGTCTCTAGGCAGGGCTCCTGGGTTAAAAATAAGACAGGGTCACTGCACAGAAACGGCAGGGCAGCCACCGTCTACTTAAGGAGACTTTGGTGGAACGAGGTCCAGGTCCCTTGTACAGGTTAATTCGAACAGTGCTACAATTGCTGCAGTGTCCTTGGATGATTTGGAGTAAGGCTGATGTTTTTTTTTTCTCCTGGCGATGTCACGGTGGGCACGGAAATTGTGACATTGATTACATTAAGTGGAATCTTGGAGTATGCCTGTAGAAACGCATTAGATTAGACGTTTCCTTTATTTCCTTTCAAAGTTGATTTTTTTTTTAAACAGCGTCATGCGCTTAACTACAACGATGAAATACGAAACAACCAAGCAATGTAATGCATGGTTTGGTTGCAGGTTTTTTTTTATTAGCAGCCCGCGCGTACTGCGGACATGTCCATCCGGCCATCTGTTTTCATTGCGAGGGTGAGACAACTGGTTTTTAAGCAAGACCGAGTCTGAGTGAGTGGCTCACTGCTCAAACCCACACTGCATTGGCGATGATCTCTGTCGGTGGCTATAAGTGGTGGAAATTATCTATTTAAAGTATGAGCCAGAGGGTTAATTTTACATTCTTAAATTTTTGTTGTTAATTAATAACGTTTTATATAATTTATACATTGATCCGAAACGCCCTGCCATGAAGGGTGCTCTATTTAAAACTAATTATTATGCAATATTATTGTTAGGGTAATTAATCCATTAATTAACTAATCTATGAACTAATTGATGCATTATTTGAGCTTTGGATTATGACATCAGTAGCCAATTAACTACTCTTGTGTCCATTACTAAAAACTTTTATTTTCCAGGTAAAGCCCACTGAGCTTTTAGCTCATTTTCAGAGGCGACCTTGCCACAAATGATTGCTCAACAAAGTGGCTTATCATATGCGGGAATTTATAGTTGCAGACAAATAAAACAAACACGTGTTTGTAAATGTGGAGGGAAAAACCGGAGGACCCAGAAGAAAATCGACGCAACGACGGGGATGGACATGCATATTACAAATATACAGGCGTCAAGGGTCGGGATTGAACCCACAACCTCCTGCATGCCAGGCGAGGGCGATAACATCTCGCCACAGTGGTGCCCCTAACGTCACTCAATGTTTGCTGATGTTTACACAACATATGACACGCTTTGGTAATCTCCCAAATAATCGTCTGTTTTGCTTTGGCAGGTATTGAATTGCCAATTTCATGCAGGTTCACTCAATATTAGGCTCCTGAAGCCCATATTTGGTTGTTTTATTGTGGGATCGAGACAAATCTTCAAAAGAAAATCTTTGTCACATGTAATGTGCCTCTGAGTCCATCTTCGTATTTATTTAGCATTAGTCACTGCTCTTTGGCAGTGGTGGAACTTCCACATTGCTACGGCAGAGCCCAATGTCCACATCGGACAACCACCACTCTTTGGCCAAATTGTGAAGCCTCAACAGGTTTTTTTTTCAAAGCTCATCGGATTTCTGAAGGTTAAGTACATTTTTTTATTCTGCAAGATTCTGAGCTGGTATTCATTTAACTGAACCCAGGGAGATAACGATGAGCATGTATGGAACTAACCTGTTCTTGTTGGATCTCAGCAGCTAAGCATGAATTAGCCTGGATAGTAACTGGATGGGATACTACCTCCTGAAAACACCCACCTATTGAAGGCCTGGGCTGCAATGTGGCCAGTAGATGGCAATGCTGCAGTGGATTCTTAATTCTGTCTAAGTGTAGCTTTGTTCTTTTCCTGGGTACTCCAGTTTCCTCCCACATGGCAAACACTCACTAATCCTAACATCCCAATGCAGGATCCTTCTGTAAAAGAGGGTTGAGACTCATTTAGGCATTCCTGGATAAATAAAAGCATTCGTATTGTTATTCATATTACCACAATTCAGTCCTCGCTGCAGTTTTTAACTCTCAACCTTACAACTGGGAGCCCTGCTAATCCACCGAGGGAGCATCCCTGCTATCCATGACGATGAACAGAAAAGAGACAAACGAGTGATGCTGGCGCTGCGATGGGAAAAACTATGAATACGTCTGCTCCACAATGCTCAGGCATAACACTACCCACCCGCCCATCCCTTGCTCGCCCACCCACCTATCCCTCGCTCGCTCGCTCGCCAGCCCGCCCGCCCGCCCTCCCGCCCGCCTGCCCTCCCACCCGCCTGCCCGTCCCTCGCTTGCCCGCTCGCCCACTTCAGCAGAATCTTTTAAACGTTCCTCTGCTTTCTGGCATGCTGCCTGCCCTGGCTCTCGCTCGAATTGGTGTGCCGGTGACACACAATAGCGCGGATTCGCACGCTGCTGTACGTTTGGACAACACGGCGTGCGATGGCCCTGCCGTCTCGCCGGGGACACACAGGAAGGGGCCTGTCCTCGGTGGGAGATACCCAGTGACGCCTGGGGAAATGTGCAGCGTTCCGCTAAGAGCCCTGTTGGTCCTTTCAACGTTGTTTTTCTTTTTGTATTTCCTGGGAAAAGCCGAATGAGTTGTTTAGGTAATTCGTCGGCGGCGATGCCGATGTCCGCGTTGCTGGCCCTGGCTTTAGCTCTCAGCGACCCCTGGTGACCCCTGGTGTCACAATCTCCGAATGAAATCTCGACGCGAGGATTTTGACGCTGCCGCGTCGCGTAACTTGCGTGCGTCGTTGAGTGATGCTTGAAGATTCTCCGATGCTGCGATTGCAATACCAGGAGTCCACATTTGCAAAGGGACTCCATGTTTACTTTCCACAAAGGTCTACTGAAAGTCTCGTTAATATTGTATGGTCGTGCAATTATATACATAGGAATCTCAAAGGTTAATATTCTTGGTTCTTTCGGTAAAGTCACGTAGAAGGGAAATCATAAAATAATAAATATTAAACAATAACACTCTCACGATGTTTCGATTGCAACACAAGCAATCATCATCAGGTGTGAAAAACCGCAGCAACACATTATATTATTATTTTATTATTTCCCTTCTACATGACTTTACCGAAAGAACCAAGAATATGAATCCCTGCAGTCACGAAAGCTTTAAATCGAAAAAAAATCTCAAAGGTCATTCTGCTTAATGTTGTAATCCAACTGTATGGGAATTGGAACATGAAAATCAGGCATGCATAAATTGAACATTATACGAAATTAAACATTTACAAACGTAGATGTGAAAAGCACCGAAGGAAATCAAGGTGCAGGTTTCCATTGTGCATGCTGAAAGGTTTATTGAGGAGAGATGCTCTCCAATTCTCACAGAGTCATCTTACACCCATTTTTTTTACATTTTCCGCTTGTATCTAATTGTGCTGTCATCATCATGTTATGAGATGAATCCAATGCGATCTTTCACAGAGGAGAGCATCCCTTAGTGTTGGAGAACAGACTGTGGAAGCGAATATTACAGAACTACCTCTGAGATCCCTTTAAGTGACCTCTGGCCCCACACAATAGAAGGAAACATTTTCCCACTCACTCTGACATTTAGAGTAATGTCTGTCACATGGCAGTGAAACTAATATTTTAATTCTTAGAGCTGGAATTTAGCGAAATCATGAAACTGCTCAATTTTACAGACGGATATAGTTTGCCATTCGGAAGTGATTTGCTGTGTGTAATCCCCGATCGAGTAATCCACATCTATTCGAATTTGGCGAAATTTGAATCGTGACGTCACGGGATCTATAAGGTCCACCGCGGCACAGACGGAAGCGTAAGTATTTTACGGTCGATACACCTGCAGCGGGGGGGGGGGGGGCAGCCTAAACCACGAGCCTCCATGACAACGAGCGGCGAACGCGCCACTGCCGGTGCCACGTCCGCCACCCCCCCCTCCGCCGACGCGGGGCTGGGAGGGATGAGTAGCCGCGTGGTGAGTGACTGGCGGCTCGCGTGTCTGCTGCTCACCCTCTCACCCAGGCTGCGGTGATGGCCGGGGCAAGATCCTCCAGCGTTTCCCCGCCAAGGAGTGGGAGGACGCGCCGTTCCCGCAGGGCCTCGAGCTGGTGGGTGCCTCGTTCTCTCTCGAGCGCCGTGTTTTAGCCTCTCACTTTGTTTTTTTTTTCTTTATGCCGGCCGGCGCTCATTTCTTTAGAACTGCTTTTTGTGTTTTAGTTTGTTGTCCTTCTCCCACACCTCCAATTAGCACGGTTGGCTACGTACGGTGTGAAAGAAGTTCAATATACATACAAGCAAAGGGCGCCGTGGTAGCGAGATGTTAACTACCTCGCCCGCTATACAGGAGGTCGTGCGTTCGATCCCGACCCTGATGCCTGTATATTTGGAATTCGCATGTTCTCCCCATGGTCGCATGGATTTTTCGCCGGATCCTCCGGTTTCTACCGCTGCTATAAATTTCCACGTGATAAGCCACTTCGTTTAGCTGTCATTTGTGGCCAGGTCGCTTCTGAAAAAGAGCTACATGGCTCAGTGCGGCCTTACCTGGTAAAATAAAAAGTTTGGTTTTAGTTCGTATTTGGTCATCGTTTGTTGGTTTGTTGTGTGCACCGTCTGTTCAATACTGTCATTGTTTTTTTTTTACACTGTTGGCAATGCAATGATTACCTTACTGAGTAATTATATCAGGTAGCCCTTTGTCCTGGCACCTCGAGATGTGGTGTGTGAGAGGTGCAGTATAAATAATACATGATGATGATAATCTTGCAGATGAAAATCGCATGAAGTTGACCTCGAGGCTCAAGGGGCTGCTGATATCAGCTCAGCGACTCTTGAGCTGAGTTTGAGTCTGGGGCTCAGACGCCCATGACTAAACCAGGTTCTCAAGTAGAACTAAACCAGGTTCTCAAGTAGAACGATTTGATGGTCTCGGCCTGGTCACCAATAGCTGCACGACAAAATCCCATCACGCTACGTATGGTGCGAAAGAAGTTCCACATACATACATTTGGTTTTCAATCAACATTGCATATTTCAAGCTTTCAGCACTAAAATATGTATTGGTTGTCCTGCCAATACATATTTTACCGCTCAACGAGGGATGATGTTACACTGTTTTGATGGTGATTTGAAGCTTTCGTGACTGCAGGAATCCATACTCTTTGGTGCTTTCGGTTAAGTAACGTAGGTAGAAAATAAAATAAATCGCGTCGTTTCGGGCACAGCAAACCTTTTAAAGCAGTCTGCCTCAGCAGCAGGCCATGCTTTCGCACCTGATGACGGACGGTTGTGTTGCGCCTGAAACGTCGTGATTTATTTTATTTTATACCTACGTTACTTTACCGAAAGTACCAAAGAGTGTGTTTTGATGGTGTTACAACTGCTTTCCCGCAAGTGTTCATTGGGAGAATGTCACGGCGCCAGAGTCATATTAAAGAGAGAGGCAAACAGTTATAAAGAAGCAGGTTCCCTCCATCAGACCTGGGCAATTTGAGTGACTTCAAGGATCGATGTTCCTGTATTTCGCTTGCATTGTTTTGCGTCTGCACATGTGCTTACTTGTTGCGCGCATGTGCATTCGTGTGTGTGTGTGTGCGAACGCATGCGCATGTCTCTGTACGTGCGTATGTTTGTGCATTTCCGCGTGCTTATGTGTGTTTTTTTTATTTTGTGTTGTTTGCGTGAGTGTGCGCATGCTGTTTGTGTGCATGCGAATGTGTGTATGCACGCGGTTGAGTGCATATGTGTGTGTAGCCTGCCACCAGTGGTGTAATGACATCACCACCACTTAGTGCCAAGTGGCAGCTGTTGTTCTTGTTCAGGGCTCAAATCCATCGGCCGCCCTGATTATTACTGCCGGTGTGAAAACCATAACAGTGCTATGCCCCCTCTGCTTCACAGCAGGTGTTAAAGATCACCTGGCGTCATTCGCAAGAGTAGGCCATTGTGTGCTGACGTTGAGGATCCAAATTTGCCATGTTAAAAAAACGACACCACAAATTACTATCCGCAGCAATCATCGCCCCCATGCTGGTAGACTAATGCCCCTGGTCACTCTTGCAAATGAGACTCTCCTGGTGTCGTGAGTTCTCGCCTGGTTAAACGACACAAACTTGCAGCTTCTCGCCGTCGTCGCTGTGCGTGCCTGCGTGCAGTTCTGCCAGCCGAGCGGATGGAAAACGAGCACCGAGAGGGTTCCGCCCTCGTTCTTCGTGGTGGTGCTGACGGACATCAACTCGGAGAGGCACTACTGTGCCTGCCTCACCTTCCAGGAGCCCTTCCTCGAGCCCAGTGTGAGTGCTCTTCCAATAGTTCAGCCCCAAGGGCGCTGCGGTGGCGAGGTGTCAACGACCTCGCCTGGTATACAGGAGGGTCGTGGGTTCCGATCCCCGACCCTGACGTCTGTATGTTTGGAGTTTGCGTGTCTCTCTCTCTCTCTCTCCCCGTGGTCGCGTGGATTTTTCTCTGGGTCCTCCGGTTTTTTCCCTCCACATCTAGAGTCATGCGTTTCACGTATTTGGCTGCTATAAATTTCCACGTGATAAGCCATTTCGATGAGGTTTCATTTGTGGCAAGGTCGCTCCTGAAAAAGAGCTATATCGCTCAGTGGATCGTACCTGGTAAAAATAAAAAAATAAAAATGTATCAGTTTAAAAAATAATGTTGCGTGGGTACATTTGTTCATAACCCAATGTAAAGAAAAATCTGAACCTGGATTAAAATGTTGCGCGCATTTGGCCGGCCATCTCTTCATCACGAGCAGGGATGGATGATGGCCGATGGTCAAGGATAATGACAGAGTGGCTACCACAGGATGGAACGCATCTGGGAGGACGTCCACCGAGGAATATGCGGCAGTGAAATCGGCTCGTTTGCCGGTGCCAGGTGGAACGCTGCATCGCAGGATCCAAGAGAGATGGCCACGACTTGGGGAGAGGCCTTCATCCAGCAGTGGATTGATCATGGCTGATGTTGAGCGCCAGTTGACCGACAGTCCGTGGGGCGATGAGACTCTTGTCTTGTCTCGTGTTTTGTGTGAGTCTAGGTGGGGAAGACGTCAGATGACAGTGATGGAGAGGAGGAGGAGCAAGAGGAAGTGGATGACACAGGTCTCGTGAAGCCGGCCCAAGTGTTTGCTCCCAAGAGCCTTGTCCTGGTATCACGACGGGACTGCACCGAAATATTCAGGGTTAGTAGTCCCTCGTAATTCGTTCCTCGATAAAATGTGCATCTCCTTTTGAACGGCGTTCATTGTTGACGCAGCTCATGCTGTCGACACCGTCTCTCGCGGGACGATGACACGTCGTTGCTGAACCCTCGCAGCGAGAGCTCTCACATCACAGTGCGTCAGGAGATGGTTCCCCCGTAGATGATGTTACAGAACTATGTCCGCAGTCACTTCAATCGAGGTTTTTTGTCGGCAGTATTTTTTTTAATTTTAGTCTATCGCCTTAGAGTGGATTTATTTTAGCAATTCTATTAGTTTAGTTCGACTAGAGCAGTCAGACATTTAGCCAAACATCATCATACTTCTTTGGTATAAGGTGGGCCAATTCTCTTCCACCCAATTGAATCTGATCAGCCCTATATTATCAGTGAACTCAGTAAATCTTCTTAATATAAATATACCACAACATTTTTTGCAGTTTTGGTTTCTCTCAGCTCCCCACTGTTTTCATTCACGTAGCTAAACTATCTTGGTCCGGCGCCTTCATCCAAACTCGTTACTTTCGTTTCCTCACAGTCGATCGCTTTTTTGGCCTTTGGGTCGTCAGTCATAGTCATCGTCGCGCTCGGCGATTTCCATTCGCTCGCTAATCGATCCATGAACGGAAATGAACCACCGAGGCGGCCACACACAAAAGGGCCCGCAATTCGTGCGCCCTCTTAAGGGGGTGTCCCGCGGCGTGTCGTGTTAAAGCCTCTTGGGTGAATCTTGACTTAAAGCTTTCGTGGCTGCAGGAATTCATATCCTTGGGTCTTTCGGTAAAGTCACGTAGGTAGTTTGAAAGACAATAACAAAAAAACTACTTGGATGGTCGTCTCCGTCTCTCGCGCTCGTGCAGAACTGCCTGGGGCTGCTGTACACGGCGCACACGGACAGCCTGCGCGTACCCTTGGAGACGCTCGTGGGGAACCTGCTGTCATGTGTGGTGCCCACGGCAGGCGGAGCGCAGGTAACCAGGAACCCCGCCCCCCCCCCAACTGAGTTTGGGAGACCCCACTGAAAAACGGCCAACGCTCATGCACAGCCTCTTTTTTTGTCAATCCGCTGCTGGATGGAGGGCCTGGCGGCGGTGACGATGCACGCCTGCAATCCAGCACTGTGGAGGGCGAGGGCTGGTGTATCGCACAAATGTTGCACAACTTCCTTCACGCGTTGCGTTCTAGAATGTCACGCCCCTGGCTTTCTTGGAGAAGCCGGCACAGCAAAAATTCGTATTCCACTTCTTCCGCCTGTATGGGATATAGTGTTTCTCCCTCGCACGCGTGGGTTATCTCTGGGTGCTCCGGTTTCCACCCACATGCAAGCGCTCGTTAATTGGCTGAAAACACCTTAATATATAGAGAACCGCAGAGCTTGGATAATTTTTTGGCCCGGCTCATCGCGTGGCTGGCCTTCTTGCTCGTTTGTCGTTCCCCGCGCCTCTGAGTCGTTCTCTCTGTACGAGAGCGAGCGAACACTGAGTGCCTTACAATTTGAAAGCAATAAAAAGCCTTCCCCACGCCCTGCAGATCGTGGGGTTTTGACCATACTTCGCCTCGCTTGTCGATTGTCAGATTGGTGAAGGTGGGCAACATAGATGCGGGGGATAGAGACGTTCAGTGCAACAATGGATGCATGCTGCACTGCAGACGACAACATCCTGCTATGCATCGTAGTGACCCATCCGAAAACAAAACAGTCTCGACTCTCAACCCTGGAAATTACAATTACAGTCATACCCCGGATTTTGTTGGGGATGCATTCGTGAAAGGTACAACGAATATTGAAACGACATAAAGCAAAGCATATTTGCAAAATTGTCAAAATACTCTATGCACGTAATGTTTTGTACCCTACAGTACAGTACATTATGCACGACGCAAAGTAGTTCATGTGCAGGGTAGGTGGAGCCGAAGGCTGAGAGGCGACAGGATAACGAGAAAGGACAGAACACGCTGGCAGCGACGTAAGTGTGGGGTTGAGGCGACGTATTTGCGAAATGACGTGAAAGGGGGAGACGTCAATCAGGATATTACTGTACAACGTTATTGCGGTTCGCTAAAAATGAAACGATCACAGTTCTAGTTGACCCTGTGTCTGGCTATTGTACGCCGATGATGCTGATGACGAGCTGTGTGCTTGCAGAAACTCTTCTCGCTGGGGGCGGGAGACAGGCAGGTCATCCAGGCGCCACTCAACGACACCCTCCCCATCACCGGGAGCAGCGTCGCCATTCTTTTCCGGCAGCTTGGTAACGACCCCTCCAAGTCACCGGTGTCCGAGCAGAACCAGGACGAGGGGTCACCATGGCCAGTGCGGTTGATTGCTATTGTTTACGTGTTACGCCTGTTTACCCGGCAAAGCCTTACCGAGAGTTTTCTGGCTTTTTTTTTGGAAGGGTCCTGCCAACTTTCTGTAGTCGGGTGGCGATGATTGCTATGTGTGTGTAGTCACAATAGAGTAATGCGTGGTGTCATTTTCAAATTTGGCAAATTGGGATCATGACACCGGCACACGATAGCCTACTACCTTGCGAATGGCGTCACGAGGTCTTTAACGTCCACTGTGAAGCAGGTGGCTCGTATCTTCACGGTTAATGCACACACAGCACTATTCATCAGGGGGCCAGTTGTTGGTTGCCACCACACTCGTCGTAATGCCCTTCCATTTTGGCTCCCGGTTGCAGAACAAATAATTTATAAGGTTGTACTCATTGCACACACACAAAGTGCTTGTCGCAAATGAACCACAATACCTTGCTGATCTCATCAAGGAGCATAAACCATCGCACAAACTCCAGTCATTCTCGCAGCAGCTTTTGGCCAGCCATCGAACTAAGATGGTCACCGCATTGCGTGCCTTCAAATCAACTTCTGCGGCCGTCTGGAACACTCTTCCTTACGATGTTGGGAGGCACTGTTCAATCTAGATTGAAAACGAATTTCTTTATGACTGCTTTTTGTGTTTAGTTTGTTGTCCTTCCCTGCACCTCCAATTAGCACGGTTGGCTACGTAGGGTGCAAAAGAAGTTCAACATATGTATATACATTTGCCAGGTCAAACAACTCTTGCACAGTGCTGTACTTGCCAAGGGTCCGCCCTTACAGTCTTATCACCACCACCACCATCTGGCTCTAGCACTTCCTCTTGCTTTCCTACCTCTGGGTGCCCACGTGGCAGTCTTAGGAATCTGCTCTTCTCCATCCTGCCACATGGCCCATCACGACCTTTACTTCCTCATTACATCTACATTACTCTCCTGACATGTTCCATTCTTACTATACACATTGCATACCCCTTATACCACTCTGACATTCAGAGCAACGTCCGCTGTCACCTCCTCAAGGACTATAAGCATTTGTGTTCCAGTGGCTTTCTTAAAGTCCAGCTCTCTGACCCACACAGTAGGAGAGACGCGCATAACGACTTGCGTATCATCAAGATCATAGCAACCAGTTACATTGATGTTGCCACTTCTCACCATCGCTTACCTTCCTTTGGCCAGATCACTGCACGTGTCGCCCGTCTGCGTGTACTTAGTTCTGTGTGGAGCTGTGCTGAGTGGGCTCGACTAACAATTGTAAGGGCATGAGTTCAAATCCCAGCCAGAGGTCAAGGTCTGTCAGTTTATTATCTAGAGAACTCATCAGTGACGGGTCTGTCAGTCTATTGTGCAAAGATGCCATCAGACCATTCTGCCAGTGTATTGTCCCCATGGGACACCACGGGTAGTAGACCAGTGTCTCAGTGCTTTGTCCAGAGATCCCCATCAGACACCTGTCTTTTGACACCTGATGCCACTTTATCGCAAGCCCACAGAGGAGATGACAGGCCTTTGCTGCGGGAATGTGAGATTTCCACCACTGGCGGAGGATCACCAACAGAGATGATCACCAATGCCATTGCTCACTTGAGGAGGGAGGAACTCTGTCCTTTGCACCGGTCTGCCGTGTCAGAATTTCAGTGGGCTCGATCGTGACCCTGACGTCTCTTTCCTTACCATGTAGCCCCGCAAGCCATGTGACAACCGGCCCGTGCACAATGGTCATCCATCCAAGCACACTCCAGGCTCAAAACTGCTTAGCTGCTGAGATCAGATGACAATCGGGGGCATTCCAGGTGATTTTGTCAGAGGCTTGATTTATACGGGAAAGTTCATTCACCACGGTGGCAAGGTGTTAACTACCTCGCCTGGTATACAGGAGGTCGTGGGTTTGATCCCGAACCTGATGCCCGTATATTTGGAATTCGCATGTTCTCCCCGTGGTCGCATGGGTTTTTCGCCAGATCCTTCGGTTTTTTTCCCCTCTGTGTTTATAAAAATGCATTTTGGAATATGTGGCTGCTATAGATTTCCACGTGATAAGCCACCTCGCCGAGCTATCATTTGTGGCCAGGTCACTTCTGAAATAGAGCTGTGTAGCTCAGTGGGCCTTACCTGGTAAAATAAAAAAAGTAGTTTTAGTTTATAGAAGGCGCGCCCGGGAATTGACGGAGCTGACTGGTGGAAACTCGACGCTCGCCACAGCATTGTGCCAGCTCTTGGAAAATCTCGGACGTCCCGTTTTTGTTGTGACGTTTTCGCAAGCCGTCGCACGGCCAAGCCTTTTGCTATCTTGGGCCGACGTCCTATGAACTCAATATCCGATCAGGTCAGAGCGCTTTTGTAGCGGTGACTGCAGACGCCAAGTCTAAGCCCCTTGTCTCGTTCCAATCAAAGCAACGCCTGCCTTTGCTGTACTGCTGACGTAGGCTGCAACGGTGACTGAAGCCGTTGTCCTTGTCAGCAAGTATTGCCTTGCAGCAGTTTGGTTCACAGGCATTGCCTCACGGTCGGCAGCAGGCATTCAAGAAAGGACAGTTTGGGTAATTTGACAGTAGTCTCACCGACTTGTCTCTGATGGGGTCTCTCGACAATAGACTGTCAGACCGGTCTCTGATGGGGTCTCTAGACAATAGAGTGACAGACCGGTCTCTGATGGGGTCTCTAGACAATAGACTGTCAGACCGGTCTCTGATGGGGTCTCTAGACAATAGACTGTCAGACTGGTCTCTGATGGGGTCTCTAGACAATAGACTGTCAGACTGGTCTCTGATGGGGTCTCTAGACAATAGATTGTCAGACCGGTCTCTGATGGAGTCTCTAGACAATAGAGTGACAGACCGGTCTCTGATGGGGTCTTGAGACAATAGACTGACAGACCGGTCTCTGATGGGGTCTCTAGACAATAGAGGTGAATTTATGAACTTGTTCAGATTTTCATTATGGCTTCATGACGACTGGAGTGAGGAAAGCCCTTCTGTTGACAATAGACTGTTGGACCAGTCTGACATTGTCGTTAGACTAGAGGTGGAATAATTTGCTCCCCCACTCCCGCCCCCCCCCGCCCCAGCGATTGGATATGAAAGCCCACAATGCCAAGGTCGTGAATCGATCCAAGGGTATTTTATTTTACCACTCGTGGCTGCAGGGTTCACGTGAAACCATCACATGCGGTGGTCGCAATGTGCCCGGTTTACTACGGTGTGCCATGCCGGCACTTCTCAGAGCACCACGCTTGTGTGTTCTCGACACTTTTCAGACCCGTTTCTCTTCTTGAACTGTGATTTATTTATATTTTTGCCAGAGAGGGGAAATATCAGTGAATATGGGCTGCAGGACGAATAGGATTAATACTGCAACTGCTAACTTCATATTCACACCACCGATTGCATACAATATATACAAATTATTGTGTGTCTCTATCCTTTATATGCTTCTCCTCCATGTGTTTCTCTACCACACCACCGATTATCACGATTGGCTTCGTACGGTGCGAAAGAAGTTCAACATACATACGCCATGTGAGGGTGTGGCAGTGCAGTAGTTAGTGCGATGCGTTACGAACCTGGCGACCTGAGTTTGATTCCCGCTGATTGCCAAAACCAGCGACGATTATCTGAATCGGTCTTGGAACTTTCTCAGGTCATCTAAGCCTCAAATGAGTACCAGGCATCGTGTTTAAATATCGCTGCTAGGGAGACAGAGGTGGTACGGTGTGCTCCTGGCCACCCACCCCCTTGTATACTGTGCCGGCATTCTTAGGTGCTCGTTCAAAACACTTGGCCCAACAGCCTGTCAAGGCTACAAGGAGTATCTTTGTCGATTTGTGTCTCTAGCTTAAGCGCACCCAGCCACGTGCTTGTATCCTGTGTGTGTGTGTGTGGGGGTCGTTATCCACTGCGTGAATGCTGCCTTTGACCAGGGATACGTCATGTCCTCAACCTCTTCTGTGCCGCCGTCACGGAGCACAAGGTGCTGTTCCACTCGAGCAGCTACCAGCGGCTGAGCGATGCGTGCCGCGCCATGCTGGCGCTCATGTTCCCGCTCAAGTACAGGTCAGCCGCGCGGCGAGGTCTGTGCATGTGTGTATGTACGTTGAACTTCTTTTGCGCCGCACACAGCCAGCCATGTGGCTGGCTGGCCCGGTGGTTCGGAATGGCCCGAGTATTCTCAATCATGCCTTGGCGGCTCTGGTTTGGCCTCCTGACGCACCTCCGCTCGGGCTTGAGCCGCTCGGTTGCCTCCCGAGGACGTGTGAAGCGGCTCGGCCATGGCTTGGCTCAGGCTCGGTTCGTGGAAATCCTGAGCACGGCTGGGATATTGCTTGGAGCCGGCTCAAGGGTAAGCTTGGCATTGTGAGCCGCCTCATTGGAGCCAGAGCCAAGCGTGAGCCGAGTGGGGACTAAGAATGTGATTCATCGATTACAATTGAATTGTTTTTTTTTTATCTTTTCCCCCACTATTTCATTAAATTGTGCTATCGATATTGTGTCATGAGAGTTGTGCTGTTGGTATTGTGTCGTGGCCACCCACCCCACCGTGCACCGTGTGCCGTGCCGGCCTTCATAGGTGCTCGCTAACAGCACTTGCCATAACAGTCTGTTAAAAGGCGATTGATTGTCTTTTTTGTTTGTTTCTGTATTTCCAGCTACCCTTACATCCCAATCCTGCCAGCCCAGCTCCTGGAGGTGCTGAGCACGCCCACGCCGTTCATCATCGGTGTTCACTCCATGTTCATCAACCACCTGCCAGACCTGGTGAGACACACAGCATTGGTCCTTGAGCTGTCATTGGCCACAAATGGCTTATCGGTACAACCGAGAGTGGCAAACGCTAACAATGATTTTACTTAAGAAATGCATCTCGAGATCGCAACGATGTATGATATAAATGTCACCGTGCTTTGCTTTTCGCTATACAATGTTTATTTTTACGAGAAAAATGTTGTCCTGTGGTACGTTTGGCAAAGAATATTGTGAAGTGAAACATCTACGGCACATGTAAATAACAGGAAGTGCATCTACGAAACAGACGGTACGTACATTACTAAGCTCTGCGCCCATGGTGTGTAGTACTGTGCATGGTGAATATTGGTGGAATTCTCTGCCCCAGGTGGTACCAACAAAACCTCATGAGCTATACTCAAACGTCAACTGAAGTGACTTTAAACATAGTTCTGTGATGTCTGGCTACGTAAGCTACGATTGAAAATTGCCTTATCTCGTGACGTGGTTCCGGTTGCAGAATCTATTCTAATATTGTCGCTCAAAGTAGAATTTTGTGGTCGTAAAGTCCCCCCCAACAGTTCCCCCCCCCCCCACCAACAACTCCCACAACGATCCAAATCAGCCCCCAAACCACCATTGTGTCCGGGTGGAAGGGGCGGCGTGGTCTAAAGAAGAATGGGCGATGTCAAAAAAGAGAAAGGCACCCTAAGACGAAAGTGTGAAGAGGTGGCACCTCATCAGGAAGGGGTGGAGCCTAAGGAGGAAGGGGGTGGGGCATAGAGAGGAAGGAGGCAGAACTTAAAGAGCACCGAGTGACACAGAGGTTGAACTACCCTGTTGATTATGGGAATTAAGGTAAATAATCAATTACACGGAGAAGGCAGCAAACCTTTAGTGCCACAGATGTGGCCACACTGGCAGGACTAGGCTATAAAGAAGGCTGTCTCTGGTGTAGGCCAATCAGTTTCAAATACAATGCAAGTATATATTATCAGAGCGTGTTTGTTTGAATGTTCACCACAAGTACTGTGTGTGGTTAATGCAAACTTGATGCCTTGCAAAATGTTTCTGTTTGGTGTTTGAACATCTTAACACATCCGGTTTTATTGCCAGAAAGGGTAAAACCTATTATTATTTTTTCATGCGGGCCCCAACTAGTTTGAATATATTTGGGGCAATTAAGAAAACAATTAAAATAATTCCCTAATGGCTGAGGTAAAGTTTTAATGACATCAATAAAATAAAATTGTCTTACTGCTCAATGAGTATTGGTGGCAGCACTTATCTCTGTTGGTAGCCAAACCTGTAGTGGAAATTCCACATTCATATGGCAGGGGACAGTTAAAAATTGGCTTACCACTGTCGACTTTTCACAAACTGGTACCTATTTGTTCAACCCGAAGGGACGATGACCTAAGTTGATCCCCAACCGGCACTTTCAATCATAACGTCCTGATTGTGAGCCGAGCGTTTGTACCACACCTCCCGTGGTGGCACTCATCTGGAGGCGGGGTTCTCGGATCACGCAGAGATCTAGCTGCAGACCGTGAGATGGTAATGAGATGGTGCCTTTGGAAGCAGGGGCGGAGCCAGGGGGGGTGACAGGGGTGACATTCTGCGTGTAAGTGTACGACACTCGGTCTGGCGGACCCCGTGCAACTGCATTGTCAGAGTGTGTCGCCAACCGATGGCGTCTAGCTCAACAGCCTGACTCTCTAATCATTCTTGAAATTAAAATTTGTTGAATGTCACCCCGGCCTGAAATCCTGGCTCCGCCCCTGTTTGGAAGGCAGTGCAGAAACTCGGTGTTGCACCTTACAGTTTCTCTCTGGCATGAAGGGTGCTTTCCCCTAATATGCGTGAGTTTTCTCCAGTCGATTTGATGTCCTCGCGCACACAAAACAAAATACCCAATATGGAATTGGTCAACAATCCTCGACAGGAACATCATGAAAATTATTCTTGAGACTCGGTGAGGCATTTTATTTGTAAATATTTGTTTTTAGCCTTGTCCTGTGTTAAGCTTTGCTGTCACGTGGTGTAATGACGTCACGTTGGATGTTAATATTGACAGCACACTCCGACCCTTACTTTATTTACCTTCATCTTGTGGAAATTAATGACGTAATGTGTACCTCGGGGGGGGGGGGATATGAACGTGTAGCTTTTGTACTGGGGGGGGGGGGGGCGGGGGGAGCAGGAAAGTCACACTGAGTTTCGAGACTTCATTTTTTAGGATGATCTTACTTCTAATGCTAAGCCAATTCAGTTTCGATTATCAGAAAGTGTTTTTTTTTTAATATTAGGATCGTTCTGGTTGCAGCTGTAAAATTAAACAAAAAAACAAAACCAGTACAAAAATATTATTTTAAATTCAATACAATGTTGACTCTGTTCAGGTGCAAGGAACATGAGCTGCCGCTTAGCAGCCGAGCGAGCTGGCTGCCGAACAGCTGTGTATTTGTCTTTGAGATCCTGACTCTGCAAATGTTGCTCCAAGAGTTTGTACGTGACCTTCACATGACCGTTGCCCTTGCTCGCATTACAGAGTCAAAGTGATTTCTTGCTCATGTCGGCCTTAAGGCAGTGCTACTGTCCCGCTTACAGCCCTGAGCCGGTGGTAAGAAATTCTACATCCCTATGGCGGGAGGCGAGTTTAACCGTAGGACAACCGCCGATGTCGTCACCACAAAGTGGTACTCACTTTATCGACGGTGGAGGGATGATGGGCTGAGTCAACAACAACAAAAAATGGGATTTGACTTTCTGATATTGAGCTTCTCGCTCTTGCTGAGAGAGGTAGTGGAAATACTCGAGCCACATATGTGTGTGTGAGAACACAACACGTGAGCCCATTGATTTACCACATACTTACATATATGTTATATGCATTATGATTTGTATGCAATTGCGTAAAGTTTACTTCCTGTAAACAATTACTTGATGAGTAGGTCACAGCTAAACTGTGGGACACCTGACATAAGCATTAGAATCCACGGAGGTGATACGTTATGGAAATTCAAAGTCCCGATCCCCCTTCTGGGATCGGGCTGCTGCCACCATCCTAGAATCTCAGCCAGATCCAGAAGGCTGCTACTGTGCGAACAAAGTGGAACAAATGCTGACATCCAGAATAAACACGTAATTCGAGACCCAAACATCGCACCACCTGGCTTTGACATTCTTCCTCCTCGAATACACCACTGGTGTAATGGAACATTATCAACAGGCCGATGCACACATCTCCTTCATGAATGGAAAATTAAAGACAGGCCACAGGAGTACGATTGTGGTTATGCAACCAAAACTATGGAGCATGTAGTAAATTACTGTAGTGTGTGCTCCTGCAAAACTACACAAACTCTCTGCTGAAATCTTTCTGGTGGCTAGTAGACTTCGACATTGGCGTTTAGCTCCTAAACATATTGCTGCAATCAGTCAAACTTTTTTTATCATGTGGTGGTGGTGATGATGAAAGTTATTATTGTTTATATTCTTAGTTATTATTGAGATGATGATTATGATGGTGATCATGGTGTTTTTTTTAGATGAAAAGGGAAGACAATGATGTAATCAAGATGTTTAGTTGGTGGTGATCATTTGGAAAGTGATTTATAATGACGATGGCGATGCAGAGTACGATATCATGCTAATATGCCAATGATCTAGGTGATTATTGAGACGGTAATGAAGAAGATGATGAAGGTGATTATTGAGATGATAATGATCACATTAATCTGGTTGTTGAGATTATTGTGTTAATGATCATCCAGGTGATTGATGTGATGATGATGATGATAACAATAATGATGATAATCACAATGGCACTGATTATTCCTGCTTAAGTTGACATGATTGCGGCGAGTTTGGATAGAAGCCCAGTGGGTGCGGATTATGATGTTGTTCATTGTCAAAGTGGTGATTATTATTGATATAATTAAAGTTATGTATTATATTATTGTTATTGAGGTCACGATGATGGTAATGAATCTCACACTGACCCTGCCGGTTGTGTTGGTGATGTGCGGTGGTGTAGCGGTTAGCGCGCTGTGCTGTGAATCTGGCGACCCGAGTTCAAGTCCTGCTCATGGCCAACACCGGTGACGATTATCTGAACCAGTCCTGGGCCTTCCCTAGGTCAACTCGGCCTCAAATGAGTATCTGGTGCAATGTGTACACATCGCCACTTGGGATACAAAGGCGGCCGGGCATGGTGCTGGCAACCCACCCCCTCGTGTGCCTTGCTGACCTTCATATGTGCTACTCGCTAACAGCGCTTGCCCCAACAGTCTGCTAAGGCTGCTATACGGGTGGGGATTTTTGTCTTTGGTGTGCGTCGCAGCTGGACGTGATCGTAGTGGAGCTGGACGGAGGCACGGTGGCCGTTCCCGAATGCGTGCACCTCCCTCTACTGCCCGAGCCCCTGCTGCAACAAACCCTGACGGCGCTGTCCATGGTACTGACACCAAAACGACGATCCGCACACCCACGGTTCTGACCGGGTGTGACCCCAAGCGCGGGCTCGTTAGGGGTGGTGCTATTCGCCACTTCCTCTACCCCCGGTGATTCAGCGAGTCGGCAAGAATTGGACTCGTCCTGTGCCCCTTCCTCGCCTTCACAAAAGTGCACCGACAAGTGTAGTGAAGTATGGTCAAGCAACCCACGACCAGCCCTCATGATCGACACAGCATGGGGAGGCCTTCATCCAGCAGTGGAATTTTTTTTATTCTTTACATACAAATAACATCCAAATTTACGCTTAACAAAAAAGCCAACATCCGACGCTATGAAGAACGGTCGTTGCCTGAAACGTCGCTTATTAAATATATATTTTTTTCAATTGAAGGCGAGAGTGTTATTGACGAACACGTGGCATTGTTTGGCTACTCGATCGAGTGCGCTGCTGCCAGCGCAGCAGCATCACCAAATAATTTGATTTGTGCACTTTCATCATTAGACGATTACAACAAGTAAAGATTTTTTTAAAAAAATTAGACCGGAAATACCAAAGGAGACTTAAAAACGAGGCAAATAAATAATCGGCTCTTGCATCAAACTGTGACCCCCGAATTGTGACAATTCATCAAGCAAACCTGTGGAGGGAGGAGCGAATCACTGCGTTCCTCGTGTGTGTATGTTGTCCCATGTTATTTTCTCAACGTCTTTGGCTCCCCGCCTTTACCAACTCACACTGACGAGCGCGTGATTAAGTACGGTTGAAAAACACCCACGACGTGCGTGGTGTGGGGAAGACCCTCGTCCAGCAGGGGATTGGCAACAGGGCTGCTGCTGCTGCACGCGTGCATTTGTATTCTTCTCGTTGCGTGGCGTTGATGGTGCGACAGAGCTCTGTAATAACGTGGAGCCTCGGTGTATCTATGTATTTATGTACAGTGAGGGAAAAAAGTATTTGATCCCCTGCTGATTTTGTACGTTTGCCCACTGACAAAGAAATTATGAGTCTTTCATTTTAATGGTAGGTTTATTTGAACAGAGACAGAATAACAACAACAAAATCCAGAAAAACGCATGTCAAAAATGTTATAAATTGATTTGCATTTTAATGAGGGAAGTAAGTATTTGACCCCTCTGCAAAACATGACTTAGTACTTGGTAGCAAAACCCTTGTTCGTAATCACAGAGGTCAGACGTTTCTTGTAGTTGGCCACCAGGTTTGCACACATCTCAGGAGGGATTTTGTCCCACTCCTCTTTGCAGATCTTCTCCAAGTCATTAAGGTTTCGAGGCTGACGTTTCCCAACTCGAACCTTCAGCTCCCTCCACAGATTTTCTATGGGATTAAGGTCTGGAGACTGACTAGGCCACTCCAGGACCTTAATGTGCTTCTTCTTGAGCCACTCCTTTGTTGCCTTGGCCGTGTGTTTTGGGTCATTGTCATGCTGGAATACCCATCCACGACCCATTTTCAATGCCATGGCTGAGGGAAGGAGATTCTCACCCAAGATTTGACAGTACATGGCCCCATCCATCGTCCCTTTGATTCGGTGAAGTTGTCCTGTCCCCTTAGCAGAAAAACACCCCCAAAGCATAATGTTTCCACCTCCATATATGACGGTGGGGATGGTGTTCTTGGGGGCATAGGCAGCATTCTTCCTCCTCCAAACATGGCGAGTTGAGTTGATGCCAAAGAGCTCTATTTTGGTCTCATCTGACCACAACACTTTCACCCAGTTGTCCTCTGAATCATTCAGATGTTCATTGGCAAACTTCAGACGGGCATGTATATGTGCTTTCTTGAGCAGGGGGACCTTGCGGGCGCTGCAGGATTTCAATCCTTCACGGCGTAGTGTGTTACCAATTGTTTTCTTGGTGACTATGGTCACAGCTGCCTTGAGATCATTGACAAGATCCTCCCGTGTAGTTCTGGGCTGATTCCTCACCGTTCTCATGATCATTGCAACTCCACGAGGTGAGATCTTGCATGGAGCCCCAGGCCGAGGGAGATTGACACTTCTTTTGTGTTTCTTCCATTTGAGAATAATCGCACCAACTGTTGTCACCTTCTCACCAAGCTGCTTGGCAATGGTCTTGTAGCCCATTCCAGCCTTGTGTAGGTCTACAATCTTGTCCCTGACATCCTTGGAGAGCTCTTTGGTCTTGGCCATGGTGGAGAGTTTGGAATCTGATTGATTGATTGCTTCTGTGGACAGGTGTCTTTTATACAGGTAACAAGCTGAGATTAGGAGCACTCCCTTTAAGAGTGTGCTCCTAATCTCAGCTCGTTACCTGTATAAAAGACACCTGGGAGCCAGAAATCTTGCTGATTGAGAGGGAGTCAAATACTTATTTCCCTCATTAAAATGCAAATCAATTTATAACATTTTTGACATGCGTTTTTCTGGATTTTTTTGTTATTGTCTCTCACTGTTCATATAAACCTACCATTAAAATTATAGACTGATCATTCCTTTGTCAGTGGGCAAACGTACAAAATCAGCAGGGGATCAAATACTTTTTTCCCTCACTGTATGTTGTACTTCTTTCGTACTGTACGTAACCAACTGTGCTCATCGGATTTGTGTGTGCAGGACAACAAGCTAAACACAAAAAGTAGATCTAATGAAATTCGTTTTCAATCTAGGTGATTTAAAAGTGCATATCTCCATTGGCTACCTAATATCGGAAGGAAGAGCATTCCAGACGGCCACAGAAGCGCATCTGGAAGCGTGCGATGCGGTGACCGTCTTTGTTCGATGGCCAGCAGCCAAAAGCCGCTGCTGTGAAGGTGACCGGAGTTTGCGTGATGGTTTATGGTCCTTGATGAGATCAGCAAGGTATTGTGGTTTGCTTGTGGCAAGCACTCGGTGCCGTTGAGATGACGTTTGCGGGCCCTGTGTTGCAGGTGTTGAACCCAGACCTGGGGGTCGCAGACAATGCCTTCCCACCCTCCTGCATTGCCTGCTCGCCCCTCGACAGACTGGTAATGCCCGGGGGGGTGGGGGGGGGAGGGTGGAAACGACAACACAACAATATCACTGCCATCTCAGAGCCTGGTGCACTTTGTGGATTGTAACAATGATAAATAATGATACTTTTTATATATTATTTTCTTTAATAATTGTGTTTGATTATGTGAAGCCTTTCAGCTGTTGCACAGTAGCTGATATTAAGCTGACGAAAATGTGGATCTAAAAACTGGTCATCATAAAACATCTTTATGATGTAATGCTCATCAACAATTGCTGTCTCCAATTCTTACGAATCACCGTGACTCTCCGGCCTCTCTATGTGCCATGAAGAAGGGCCATGCTCTAAAACGTCGCCTATTTTATACTTCTCCTTCTAGAGCCACAGTTTTATTTACAAATGTGGTGGGGGCATTTGTCCACAACACTGTAATGTGATGACGGTCTTAGGACTTGCCAATCCCTGTGCTGCTGTATAGAGAGTCAAAGTAGTTCTGACTTGGCTGTTGTTTAACTGTGTTTCATATAGATTATAGTTACTTCATATTTGAGCCAGGTTCTGCCTTAATCATTATCGTTAACAGCAGAAGTAACAGCAGCAGCATTGTAAGCATCATCATCAAGCATTCATCATCATCGTCATCATCTGTCCATGATCTCTACAAAGTAAAAACACTTGGTGAGACGTCGATGGTGTTGTGCTAAAGGGAAATTGGTACTTGCCATGGAAGTGTGGAATTTCTACCACTGGTTCAATGTCACAAATGTAGATAAGAGCTGCGTGAATGCATGTTTGTCCATGGGGGTAATTTCACTTGGCCGGCCTAATAATCATCATCATATTCTTAGTTTTTTCGGTAAAGTCACGTTGAAGAGAAACAACAAAATAATAAAATATATATATAACAAAAAAATTCTCACGACGTTTCGACCATAACTCAAACGGTCATCTTCAGGTGTGTTGGTTTGCATAAATTATTTTTTAAATGGCGCATTTATTTATTTATAAAAAACGTTAGCGCCACGCGCAGCGATTTGGCAGTTTACCCAGGACTAGTCCATCTATATTTTGAAAAGAGGAGGGGGGAGACGAAATTTTTTATAATGTATGCTGTCTGAAAGCCACTGTAAGCGTGAACAATCAATTAAGAACTGAAATGGTTTATCAAATCTTTCCAATGATTGCTAAGATAGAATCCATTTTCTCGGTTGAAATTGTCTCTGTGCTTGTATATGTGGATAGCCTCATGAACGAATCTCTCATGGAAGCCAGATGGCTTACAAAGAACCTCTGTCTTGGAAAAGTCAATGGCATGTCTCGGACCGCATTCGTGAACACAAGGCAGACCTTAAACACGGTAGGACCAACACCTCGGCCGTAGCAGATCATTGTTCTAATTCAGTGGGCTCACATGCCATTGACTTTTCCAAGACAGAGGTTCTTTGTAAGCCATCTGGCTTCCATGAGAGATTCGTTCATGAGGCTATCCACATATACAAGCACAGAGACAATTTCAACCGAGAAGATGGATTCTATCTTAGCAATCATTGGAAAGATTTGATAAACCATTTCAGTTCTTAATTGATTGTTCACGCTTACAGTGGCTTTCAGACAGCATACATTATAAAAAATTTCGTCTCCCTCCTCCTCTTTTCAAAATATAGATGGACTAGTCCTGGGCAAACTGCCAAATCGCTGCGCGTGGCGCTAACGTTTTTTATAAATAAATAAATGCGCCGTTTAAAAATTAATTTATGCAAACCAACACACCTGAAGATGACCGTTTGAGTTATGGTCGAAACGTCGTGAGAATTTTTTGTTTTATATATATTTTATTATTTTGTTGTTTCTCTTCAACGTGACTTTACCGAAAAAACTAAGAATATGAATTACTGCAGTCACGAAAGCTTTAAATCAAAATCATCATCATTTCGTGTTTTTACGTCGGCACCAACAGTTATTGTAAGATCATGCATTTCACTGAGCGCTACGCCATACATCAGTTTGTCCCGTCCAGCCTCGTCCTCTGTGTTGAGGAGTGGAGTGGTGACGGGATGTCACACTCGCCTCGGGAGGAGTGACGTCATGTCCCCTCGGGGTATTTGAGGGGGGACCGGTGACGTGGACGAGGTCTTTGCCAGGAGCCGGGTTCGTGAGCGGTAGGGAAGTGGGGACCCAGGGTAGGGGAGAAATAGCACCAGGCTAGGGGGGGCTACTTTACCCGGCTGGCTGAGTTGGTTTAACCATCAGTCAGCGCTGTGGGAAGAGCCCGTTAGCCTGGGAAGCGTAGGGAGTCCCAGTAGCCTTTCCCCTGGGGAGATTAGCTTAGCCAAGTCTTGTATTATCCCTTCCCCTAAACCGAGGCGAAAAGCCCGTGATAAACAGTTTGGTGTCAGCCCCGACAACGACTGCTCTTCGTGTCGTCTTTACAACACAACATCTGAATGACGGCCCTGTGAGCACAGCTCTCTTGATGGCTTGAGCTGACGTAATGCTTCATGAGGGTCGTCCTTCGCGTGCCATTGGCAGAACTAAAGTATTCCTGAATGCTCGTTGTCGCTTGAGTTGTCTAAAGTGGGGGCTGAGGGGCGCACAGAGCCGCGAACTCGCACATCGTCGTTAACGTGTGCGTGTTGGTTCTCCGATGTGTGGCAACATGTTAACTGCCTTGCCTCGTATACAGGAGGTTGTGGGTTCGATCCCAAGCCTGACGCCTGCTGTGTGTTTGGCGTGTGCATGGGCTCCCCGTTGGTCACGTGGATTTTTCTCCTGGTCCACCGTTTTTTTTTTCCTCCACATTTAGAAACAGCGTGCATTTAGAGTATTTGGCTGCTATAAATTTCCACACGATGATAAGCTACTTCGTCATTTGTGTCCAAGTTTTGCTTCTGATAAAGAGCTCTGTAGCCTCAGTGGGCTTTACCTGGTAGAATAAAAACAGCTTAGTTTAGCTTTCAGGTTTTACCATGTAATCACCGCGGAGTCCGACTTTCCACCGCACGTGCCGCTGAAACATTTCCTGAAGACGCCCCCAACACGCGTAACGAAACGTCGGACATCGTGCCGAACAACGCGCGGACCGACGCGAAAACACGCCGGAGCGGTAAACAGCGCAAGCGCGAAAACCTACGCAGAAGCCGTGTTTTTTGTATTTTCCCAGGACAAGGAGCTGCGTGCCATCTTCCTGCGTCTGTTCGGACGCCTACTTCAGGGCTACCGCTCGTGCCTGCAGCTGGTGCGAGTGCAGCCCACGCCCGTGCTGCGCTTCCACAAGGTGATTATGTCACGGGGTCGCAGCCGGGAGCGAGAGTCGTCGCCCCAGCGCAGAAAAGGAGCACACGGAGACGAAGATTCCCCCTCGCAGCCTCTCTAGACTGCTGGGCCAAGTGCTGCCGGTGAACGCCAATGAAGTGCTGGCGTGGTGCACTCGGGGGTCGTGTGCCGAGAACCTTTTTACCCCCGGTCTGATTAAACCTATAGGGTAGCCGCAGGACCGGTTCAGTTATTCGCCATTGATGTTAGTCCCGAGCAGGAATCGAACTCGGGCGGTCGGCTTCGTAGCGCGGGCCACTAACAACTTAACGTCCGTTCCCCATATACACGTTAACACGTATGTTTGCGCGTGTTATCGCGTGTGCGAGTGTAAATGTTTGTGCGTGTGTAAATGTGTGTGCGAGTGTAAATGTTTGTGCGTGTGTACATGTGTGTGCGTGCGTAAATGTTTGTGCGTGTGTACATGTGTGTGCGCATGTTAACGTGTGTGCGCATGTGTTAAAGTGCGTGCGTGCGTGCGCGCGTGCGCGTGTGTAAATGTGCCTGCGCATTTTTACGTGTGTGCGCCGCGTGTGCAGTCGGCGTTCCTGGGCCAGCGGGGCCTTGTGGAGGACGACTTCCTGTCGCGACTGCTCGAGGGCATGTCCTTCGCCACCTTCATCTCCGACAGGGGCCCTCCCTACCGACCCTGCGACATCTTTGACGAGGTCCCACACCTCAATGCAGCTCCGGTTTCACCCGCAGAGCATCCAAGTGCGGCCATCGATCTATAGATCTAAACCAGCCTCCTGTAAATCACGTGACTTCTGTGTGGCCACCCCCACTCTTAATCCCTCCCCTCTCCCCGCCCCCTGTGAAAACAGAGGCTGGTCTGTGCAGCTCACTGCTGCTCACTCCTTTCTTTCTCTCGTCCTCTCTTCCCTCCTACCCTCTCATCATCCCCGACGTCTCGGCCCTCTCGTTCCTTCTCCCCCTCCTTCCCTTCCTGCCTGGCGCTCCTTCTTTCTCCCTGCTGCTCATCTTGAGCCATGCCTTCTCCGTCTGCCTTTAGGGACTTCCTTCCCAGCAATCCCTTTCCTGGTCACCTTGCCCTGTCTGCTGCCCTTTCGTGTAACTAACTCTGTCCCCCTTCCCGTGGCTTGCTAGGGGTAAACGTTTTTTTTTTTACAAACAATATCACCAACATCTTTGCCATCGTTAAAAGCAACATCACAACAGCACTAACACTTATCATCGTTATCATCATCGGCGGGGATGATCGTAATGATGACCATTATTTTAATCTGGGCGGCAGGGTGGCGAAGTGGTAATGCGTGTGCCTGACAGCAAGATGGACCTGGGTTCCATTGCTGACTCAGGCTCATCTCTGCGTGGAGTTTTTTTGTTCTTTAGTTCTTGAAGGCAGAGGGGGGGGGGGGGCATGAAGGAGGTGATGGAACTTGTGTACCTTGAATATCTAAAGTCGACCAGTCTATTCCAGTCCAACAAATTCACCGTCGAGAAAGCCAACGGACAATTCACATTGCACGTATTTACACCGTGCGGTATTAAAAGGGTAGGATCCAGGTTATATTGTGGTTCTTGATGCTGCTGGGTATTGTGCAGAGTGTGAATGAGCCGGCTTGGCCATGGATGTTGCCCACAGCTGGTGGCGTTTGAGGTTGACCGCATGCGGGCGGAGGAGGGCGACCGAAGGAAGACGCTGAAGCACGTGATGGAGCTGGCTCATCAGCTGTACAGCAACGTGAGCAACCAACGAATTAATCGTTCAGTTGGCCGTTTAATCTGTCAATAAACCAATATATGAGTCATACGAAAGCCGATCTTGCGAACAAGCGTGCTTAGAGACAAACCACCTTTCGTAATAATAATAATAATTTCAACTTATTTACTTGCTCTCGAAGAGAGAGAATGATCCGGAGGCGTGAGGAACCAGCAGGAAGGTTGCGAGGCGGTGAGCCGGTGGCAGTGATTGCTTAAGTTCTGCGGTCCTCTATGTATAAAGGTGTTTTTTTGGCAAAATAATGAGTGTTTACACGTGGGAGGAAACTGGAGCACCCGGAGAAAACCTCGCACGTATGTGGGGATGACACTCTATACCCGTACAGACGGTAGAGATGGAGTCCACATTTTTCCGTACTGCATTGTCGCGAGCTAGGGGTGCGACACCCCCTCAACGCACACGGGAAGGGGGTTTCACAACATCTTTGTGATGATCCACCGACCCTCACGGCCTCCACAATGCCGGATTACAGGCCACGTGGGTAGCCACCACCGTTTGTTAACTCGGTTAGCCATCGCAGTCGTGCACCAGGCAGCGTCAGTCACAGCCTGACGGAGGCACCGCTGTGACCCCCGAACAAGACGACTGACGTGGATCAAGCGGAAAGCCGTGATATTAATGCTGAAAGTGGGCATCAAATCTGCTGAGATTTATGCTCGATTGCATGCTGTGTGTATGGGGATACACTGATGTGCATTGATATGGTGCAATCAAATGCATTGGCCATGATAATCTCACGGCAGGCGTGGAATTATTGAATTCCCCTCCCCACCCTGTGATTAGGTATTTTTTTCTGATTCATAAATCACGAGTTGATTCAATAATTGCTTATTTTCTGTCTTTGTTGACATCACCTAATTTCTACTGCCTGTTTCGTTTGTACCGTCAGCTCTCATTGCTAATGTATCACCCGTGCCATCTCGCTTAATGCCTGGCTCGTCTGTACGGTCTGTCTCATTTGTTTAGTCTCAATTGTTCTGTTTTGTATAGTCAGTCTCGTTTGTAACGTCTGTTATTGTTGGGTCCAATTATATTTGGCCTTAAGCCTGAAAGAAAAAAAGTATCCCAAAACATTTGAACGTTTCAAAATCAATCAACGTGACGCTCACGATCTGATTGCACTTAAAACTATTTTTATTTTACCAGGTAGGGCCCACTGCGCTATGTAGCTCTTTTTCACAAGCGACCTGGCCGCAAATGATACCTTAACGAAGTCGCTTAGCGTGTGAAAATTTGTAGCGGGCAAATACTCTTAACGCATGTTTCTAAATGTGGAGGGAAAAACCGGAGGACCCAGAGAAAAATCCACACGACCATGGGGAGAGAGACACGCAAACTCCAAATATACAGTAGGCGTCAGGGTCGGCATCGAACCCACGACCTCCTGTACACCGGGCGAGGTAATTTTTATCATGAGCTTAACAATAAATCTTAACGAATTGGAATCGCTCCATGCCTATGTTTTGGCCTCGTCTTCGACCTCACCGCATAGTCGTGTCGCCCCGCCCCCCCCCTTCCCCTCGGCAGGAGAACCCCAACCCTCACCTGTCGCACCACAAGGTGCCCCGCCCCACAGACGGCGCCCACCTGCGCCTGCACCAGCAGCCGTTCCCGCCGCTCGCCGCGGACGCGCTGGAACGCGCCGTCGCGGACGCGTCGTCGCGCCAGCGCAGCGCCACCCCGGCCAGCGCCCGCGTCGAGAGGCGCGCCGTGGTGCCCGCGGGGCCGCCCGCTGGTGAGTGGGGCCCCCGGGCGGCGGTGGCGGCGATGGCAGCGGTCCTCCGGCCGCGCCCAACGGGCTCCTCGTCCGCTCTCCCCCCGCAAGCGATCGGACGCTTCGGGAGTGAAAGTTATTGCTTGTTTTTAAGAGGCATTTATTTATTTGCATTCCCGAATGCGTGGTATATTCCAACAATAAACACATTGCCCGGGTGTTGCAGGTCGTGTGTGTTTGTGCGCGCGCATGCATGCGTCATTGGGATTTTTACAGCATTGGCTGAACTTTTATTTCTAAACAAACTCATGAGGGGTGGGGGGAAAAATGAGAGGGGAGGGTGTGAGTGGCTAACACGTGGGACGACGAGGAGCTGTGCACATTGCCTGGGGATCTCGCACAGTTATCAAGGTGTATGCCCTGGTCACACTGGGCCTGAGGGCCTTCGACGTGAGGAGGGGGGGAGAGGTTTAAATGGGTTCTTGAGGAATGGATCTTTTAAAATCTGGCTCCTTAGCTTTAAGCGTGTGTCCACCAGGTGGTCGAGATTGGCCATGGCTGATAGGTGGAGTTGTTCCATTGCACTCAGGATGGGGTTGTGTGAAGTTTAATTGAACGGAGCAAGGGGTGGCCGGGCGGCTCGTAGGTCTGAGCACGGAGCCGGCACCTCTGAGATGCTCGTGAACACTGCCCAACGGTGTGTGGATGTTGTCTCTTGCTGTGTCCTCCTAGCGTCTGCGCTGGACAGGAGCGGTGTGTGCGCCGTGCTGAACAGCGCCCGGCGGCTGGAGGTCATCAAGAACTGCATCACCTACATCTTTGAGAACAACTTGCTGGAGGCCAAGAAGGTACTCCGTCCCTCCGTGGGCTCTTGACAATGACGGAGAGTGCTGTGAGAGATGGGGGCAGCGCTACCACCAAAGTCGGACATCGGTGGGCATCTCCCAAAGAGATGGAGCGATGATATGAGATTGTGTGCAGGCTCGTGATGGATTGTTGAATCCGCGTGGCTGTACAGGGATGGCGACAGTTTGTGGAGACCAGTGCATAGATCACGGCTGATGATGATGATGTACGTGGGTTATAACGTCATGAAGCCATGTGATACCATCACGTCTGCACTCGTTACATCAAGTTACATGGTCTGCCAGCATACGTGAGTTTTATTAATTGGCCAACTGGTGGACACTAAAATAAACTATTTTTATTTCACCAGGTAAGGCCCACTGAGCTATATAGATATTTTTCAGAAGCCACCTGGCCACAAATGATAGCTCAATGAAGTGGCTTATCAGGTGGAATTTTATAGCAGCCAAATATTCTAAAAGCATGTTTCTAAATGTGGAGGGAAAAACCGGAGGACCCGGAGAAAAATCGACGCGACCCCGGGGAGAGAGACATACAGACTCCAAATATACAGCCGTCGGGGTCAGGATCGAACAAACGACCTCCTGTATACCAGGCGAGGTAGTTAACATCTCGCCACCCCAAACAGTTGAAGGACCCTGCTCGAGCTTAACAGCAACATTTCTATTTAGTATGCATAGCATTTTGAGTAATCTAACACCTGTGATTATTTGCATCATGAGAGTAAGAATATATCTCCATTGATGAATCCTTGCTTGTCCATAATAATGCTGCTGCTGATGATGATCATGGTGACTGATAATGGTTATTGACAGTAATGGTGATAGTTCAAATGATGATGATGATAAAAGTAATCATAGTTTTTTAGATTGGTATCTAATTGCCAAATTTGTCTGCGAGAATCATTTTTCCACTTAACCGGTTGGTTAAAACATGAACAATTGGCCCTCTTTAACAATTGGCGCTTGCACAACTTTATTATGTTGCCTATATCGGGTGGTGAAGGGTCTCGCGGCGTGATCTCGGCTGGATCGTTACGTGGCCTCGCCCAAAAAAGTCGATTACGAACCGTTCAATTTCTTTCGGCGGAAACCTACGTGCCGAGAGACAATCGCCTCTCCCGGTCTCTCGCCGCTTCCCCCCACCCCCCCCTCGCTCCCTCCGCTACGCAGGCGCTGCCGGCCGCCCTGCGAGCGCTCAAGGGCCGCTTGGCGCGCCAGGCCTTCGCCCAGGAGCTTGGCTCGTACGCGCAGCAGCCGCGCACCGTGCTCGACCACCAGCAGTTCGACTACGTCGTGCGCATGGTCAACTGCGCCCTGCAGGTGAGCGCCCGCCCGCCGCCGGGTCGGCAGCGTGGCACGGCGAATGGTGCTCTGATATTAGCCGACGCGCTCGTTGTCTTTTGCCTCTCTCTCTATTCCGCGCGGCAGGTGGAGGCGCCGGTGGCGAGGGGGGGGGGGGGGCGGGGTATGTAAATCTCGAGGTTGTTTGTGGATGTCTGTCTAGTATATATCTGTGTATGTTGAATTTATTTCGCACCGTGCGTAGCCAACCGTGATAATCGGAGGTACGGAGAAGGACAACAAACTAAACACAAAAAGCAGTTCTAAAGAAATGAGCTTTCAATCTAAGGAAATGGCTGTTCAATCTGTCATGATGGGGAGCGGTAGTGTAGCGGTTAGCGTGCTGTGTTATGAACCCGGCTACCGTTCTCATGGCCGACACAAAGTGACTATTATCTAAAGCAGTCCTAGGCCTCCCCTAGGTTGACTAAGCCTCAAATTAGTTCCTGGTACGGTGTGTAAATATTGGTACCAGCTGTGATGACCATGTCGTCGGCAAAGCTGAGACGGTTAATGTGCCCTCCGTTATGATTTGTAAAGAAGGCTGAAAATATGAGCTAAACAGGGGTCATGTAAAACGCTTGCGATAGACGACTGAAGATATCTGTGTGAGGGACACAACTATAAAACGCAGCAGAGTATGTTTACCTCGGGGTAATTGTTCAAGTTGCACCAGAATCAAAATAATGAAAGTAAGAGGTGGACAAGAGGAAGATTGGAGTGCTTTTGGAAATCTGAATGAGATCATGAGAAGCAACATTGCCAGTGTGCCTACGGAAGAGAGATGCAAATCAATGCATTTATTACCTACTCCGACACATGGACCAGAAGCGTGAATATTGACAAAGAAGTTGGAACAAAAGGTAAAAGGTACACAGACAAGCTAGGAAATGTGCATGCTTGGAATATCACCGAGAGACAGAAAGAGGAACGCAAGAATTAGACAACATGCGCAAGTTCAAGACCTGTGTGGAAATTGCACATTCCCGAGTCAAGCGCGGGTATTACCATAGAACCACCAAGATTGACTTCCCACAAAGTGATATTCGTTTCAATGACGAGGGTGAATGATGGTCCGGGTCAACATCGACCGGTATTAGCACTCGCAACCTTCCGAAACCGAGTTGAATATTCTAACCTCAGCATCACGTGATATCTCTGCTTTGAATGCGTACGGTGATGTGACAGGAGGTATTTTATTCCCCGCAGGACTGTTCTTGCATGGATGAATATGGGGTGGCAGCCGCCCTGCTTCCCATCACCTCCATTTTCTGTAGGGTGAGCGATCGGGACGATAGCCAGAGGAAGGTTCTGTTTGGCTATAACACAGCCACTTAGCCAGCTACACACCCATTCACATAGCCACCAAGCCTGCCAGTAATACGGCAATTTACCCACACACTAAACCAACCACTCGGTCACCCACTCATCCAGCCAGACCCCAGATGCTCAATCAGCCAGCGCCACGGCATTCCGCCGAGACACTCAATTAATCTTCTCTGCCACCGAGACACTTGCCCACGAACCCGCCCGCCCAACCAGACCCCAGGCATGCACTCGCCCAGCCACCCATCCAGTCAGCCCGATATCCAGCCACATATCAATTCACCCACCCATCCATCCGCCAAACTCGCCCACCCGGACACTTGCTTACCGACTAACCGCCACCCACTCAGATATTCACTCAATCAGTGATCCAGCAACCTGCTGAGACATGTAATCACTCACCCAACCACCTTCCCAATCACTCAATATTCCACCCGGATACTCACCCACGCGCTCAGCCGCCCATACATCCACCCACGCGCTCAGCCCCCCAGACATCCACCCACGCGCTCAGCCCCCCAGACAACCACCCATGCGCTCAGCCCCCCAGACAACCACCCACGCGCTCAGCCCCCCAGACATCCACCCACGCGCTCAGCCGCCCATACATCCACCCACACGCTCAGCAAGTTACCGCCGCACTGCGCGTTTCCTCCCCTGTCCACTGCAGAAGCTGAGCCCGGGCGTGGTGCAGTTTGCCTACACGTGCGTGCAGGAGCACCCGGTGTGGACCAACACGCAGTTCTGGGAGGCGGCCTTCTACAATGACGTGCAGAGAGACATCCGCGCCCTGTACCTCCCGCAGCCTGACAACGAGGTGACGCTCCGTACCGCGGTGGGGGGGCCGAGCCCCAGCCCGGCCGTGGGGTCGGAGCCTTCGTTGGGGGTTAACGCCAATTGCGATTTGTAACTTCTTGCATCCTTACACATCTATCGAAAGTTCAAATGTAATGCCCTATTCTACTGAGCGACTGTGTGTCATTGTCTTCGTGTGGTCTGGGACTGTTCTTGCTGTTGTTTTGCTGCCTTGCCTAAGCTTTGGAATTGGTGTACTTATGCAATTTGAACTTATATACTTTTTTTACGTATTTATTTTGAGTGATTCGCTTACCTTTCCTATACTCTGTTTGTTGTTGTAACTTTCTGACCTATTCCGACGAGACTTTAGTGAAAAAAGGAATCGTAGCTCATCGGATTTCTCCATTAAGATTATGATGCTGAACTCACCCCATCATGCATCCGGGGCAGATAAAATCAGTGGCACTTCGTGACAAATTGTACTGGAGAGAAACTGGCTCAAAAACTCTACAACAAGTGGCGGACGCGCTCCCGCTAGGCCGCGTCACTGCTTTTGTTGCGGACCGTTAACCACAGCTGCGCGGGTAGAGCGAGAGAAGCGCGGGGCGGGCGGGCGGGCGGGCGGGCCGGCGGGGGGGGCGGCACCAGCGTCGGCGTGGGGGGGGACGTAACCGCGCGGAATTCCCGCGGCAGGACCGCTCGGCGCTGGACGTGGCCGCCGAGCGGCTCCGCTCGTGGCGCCCGGCGGGGGCGGAGCGGCGGCGCGAGGAGGAGGCGGCGGAGGAGGGCGTCGTGTTCAGCCAGGCGGTGCAGTACGCGCACCGCATGGCCTGCCTGCTCGTGCCGCTCGACACGAGCCGCGGCCGCGGCCTCCTGCGCGCCAGCGGCGCCTGCGACGGAGAGAGCGGCAGCAACAGCGTGCCCACCAACAGGTGAGGGTGGGGGGGCGCCCGTGGAGGCGTGGGACAGGTGTGTCTGCTGCTGGGAGGAGAGGCCATGCGGTACGGGGTGTGTCTTGCTAGGAGGAACAGGTGCCGAGCACAGGTGAGTCTCTGGTTAGGGAGAGAGCGATGCAATGCAGGTGTCTGGTTAGGGAGGAAGAGGTTAGGAGGACGAGCACAGGCGTGCCTCCTATTAGGGGGGCGGTGTGTGAGCGCGTGCTGTCTTGAGTGGTGTAGTGAGTGAGTGAGTGGTGTGAGCGCGTGCTGTCTTGAGTCGTGTAGTGAGTGAGTGGGTGGTGTGAGTGCGTGCTGTCTTGAGTGGTGTAGTGAGTGAGTGAGTGTTGTGAGTGAGTGGTGTGAGTGCGTGCTGTCTTGAGTCGTGTCGTGAGTGAGTGAGTGGTGTGAGCGCGTGCTGTCTTGAGTGGTGTAGTGAGTGAGTGAGTGTTGTGAGCGCGTGCTGTCTTGAGTCGTGTAGTGAGTGAGTGAGTGGTGTGAGCGCGTGCTGTCTTGAGACGTGTAGTGAGTGAGTGAGTGGTGTGAGCGCGTGCTGTCTTGAGTCGTGTAGTGTGTGAGTGAGTGGTGTGAGTGCGTGCTGTCTTGAGTGGTGTAGTGAGTGAGTGAGTGGTGTGAGTGCGTGCTGTCTTGAGTGGTGTAGTGAGTGAGTGGTGTGAGCGCGTGCTGTGTTGAGTGGTGTAGTGAGTGAGTGAGTGGTGTGAGTGCGTGCTGTGTTGAGTCGTGTAGTGAGTGAGTGAGTGGTGTGAGTGCTGTCTTGAGTCGTGTAGTGAGTGAGTGGTGTGAGCGCGTGCTGTCTTGAGTCGTGTAGTGAGTGAGTGAGTGGTGTGAGTGCGTGCTGTCTTGAGTCGTGTAGTGAGTGAGTGAGTGGTGTGAGTGCGTGCTGTCTTGAGTGGCGTAGTGAGTGAGTGAGTGTTGTGAGTGACCGTTGTGAGTGCGTGCTGTCTTGAGTCGTGTAGTGAGTGAGTGGGTGTTGTGAGTGAGTGAGTACGTGCCGTCTTGAGTCGTGCAGTAAACGAGTGTGCGCGTGGTGCGCGCCGCGTGTCAGCGTGGGGGGCAGCGTGGGCGAGAGCTTCGACATGGAGAGCGGCTTCGAGGAGGCGGACGGCGCCGACGTGGCGGGGACCGTGACGCGCTTCGTGATGCGCTTCGCCGACAAGGTGTGCACCGAGTGCGGCGTCACCAACGAGCACGTCCGAGCGCTGGGCGCCATGCTGCCCGGTGAGCGGCGACGGCGGTGGCGGTGTTCGCGCACGTCCGGTTAGCGCGGTTTGGCTACGTACGGTGCGAAAGAAGTTGAGGATCTTGCATGCATGTACGTGCGTGGCCAGCGATTTTAGTGCACGGTCTCAAATCTGTGAGTTTGGCGCTTGCTCGGTTTGGCCCCTCGGAGCCGTCGCTCGGTAAAACGAAATAAAACACTCTTTGGTTTCTTTTGTCGGGAAATTCACGCAGAAAGAAATGTAATTAAATTGAATACGACGTTTCGATTGCAACACAAGCAATCGTCATCAGGTACGAATGAATGAGAAAACAAACCTAGTAAACTTAGAAATATAATGCAGTACAACACAGAGAGTCGGCTAACATAACAGTCAACACCCTACCTGGTTGATTACGTTCTTCCAAAGATTGCTAAATTTGAGAGAGACGAAACAAAACACTTTGTTGGCGAATGTTTTCGTCCCCAATTTCATTACCTAAAGTCACACTGAACAGTGGCACGCCTTCACCCCGCTCCTCCTCCCTCCTCCCCCTCCCCTTTCATCCCTTTCTTTCCTTCTTCCTCCATGAATATTCCGTACGTCAGCAAACTTTGGGGGAGCGGTGTTGCAGTGACTCGCTCACTGCTCTATGAACCCCGGGGTAGGGGGGGGGGGGGTACTTTAGTTCAGTTCCTGACCATGACTGACATTAGTGATGATTCACTGAGCTCGACTTCGCATCCCGGGTGCCCCTGTCTGATAACCCTCACGGTAACTCTGCACGTTGACGAGTTTGTTCACGTGAACTCGCCGCGCGCGCGTTGGTCGCTCGTTAACTCTCGATGCCGTTCACGTTTGTTGCAGGAATCGTCGCCCTTCACTTGGAGTCCCTGGAAGCTGTTCACCGGGAGAGCAAGCGCCTGCCGCCCATTCAGAAGGTAACGCAGTGTGGTCGTGTGTGCTCACAAGCAGCATCGCTCTTCTGCAGAGACACATGCAAACACACACATACATACACATGGACACGTACACACACATGCACTCGCACAGCATACGTATATATTTTTGGGCTCTCTGCCAATACTGAGTCTGTTCTCTCTGCCCTTCTGTGTTAACCTCCGTCTTTTGTCTTGTCTCACTCTCTGTCCCTGTCTCTCCTTTTTCTCCGTCTCTTTCTATCTCATTGTCACTCTGTCTCTACCTGTATCTCTCTTTCTCCCTTCACCCACTCCTTTCCACCTCCCTCTCTCTCTTCATCCATCTTGCCCTCCTCTCCCCATGTCTCCCTCTCTACTCCCTCTCTTCATCCTCTCTCTATGCCCTCCTCCCTCACTCCCTCCTACCCGTCTCTCCCTCTACCCCCCCCCCATATGTCCCCTCCTCACCCTCTATCCCCTCCTTCCTCCCCACCTCTCCCTCTCCTTCCCATCTCTCTCCTCCTCTCACTCTCCCCACCTCTCCCTCATCTCCACCTCCTCTCTCTCTCTCTCCCCTCCTCCCCCCCTCACCCCCCACCCCGTGTCGCCGTCGCCACGGCAGCCCAAGATCGTGCGCCCGCTGCTGCTGCCCGGCGAGGAGCTGCTCATGGAGGGCCTCCGCGCCGTCCTGCTGCCCGACGGGCGCGACGGCGCGGCGGGGGGCCGCCTCCTGGGGGCCCCCCCGCTCCTGCCGGCCGAGGGAGCCGTCTTCCTCACCACCTACCGCGTGATGTTCCGCGGGGCGCCCAGCGACCCCCTGGGTGAGCGCCGTGCTCGCGCACAGCCACTGCTGCTGCAGCGGTAGCGGCGGCGGCGGGGGCAGAAACAGCAGTAGAAGTGGCGGCAGTCGCCACAGAAGAAGCAGCAGCAGGATTACTGGCAGCAGTATCACCGGCAGCAATAGAAGTAACAGTGGCATCAGCAGATGGAGCACCATCAGTAGCGGTTGTATGAGCAGTGGAGAGCAGCAGAAGCAACAGATGCGGCAGAGGCGAAATAATCAGCTACTGTCTGAAGAGCATCAGCGGTAGCAAGACCAATATTAGCCTGAGGAATAAGAACGGTAGGAGAAGAAACAGCAGCAGCAGCAGTAACAGGGCAGCAGTACTAGCAGCAGCAGCAGCAGTGTCAGCATGGGAATGTGCCACACTGGTGACCTGCTCACAGACCCGATGTCTCTCAGCGAGTTCTCAAGTCACTGTCGTCGACAAAGTGTCTCCCTGCTCATGCAAGGGTGGTTTGGCATTCGTTTTCACATGTGGTCCGCAGCCAGAGGTGGACATTCCACATTCCTGCGGTTGGGCCCAGTTTGTCCAAAGGACGACCGCCGTTGATTTCCTGCAAAGCTGGTGTGAATGTAATTATGAACATGAGCATCGAGGGTTGACGGGCAGGGTTGACTTCCAAATGGGATTTGAACCCACGGCCCCTTTGACTGCAAGTTATTAACAGCTGTGGCACAGTACTTTCCATCCAGAGGTCGCCGGTTAGACGTGCGAGCGTGGCAGTTGAAACAGAGGTGCAAGTTTATAAAAAATATTCCCACCTGTGTCCGCCGAGCAGCGTAAATTGTTATTCCACTATTCCGTCAGTTGGCAGGTTGCGTGGCGGTGGCCTCGACTCGGCCTCGAATGAGTACCCGGTGCGATGTGTAAACATCGCCACTCGGGAGACAAAGGCGGCCGGGCGTGGTGTTGGCCACCCACCCCCTCGTGTGCCGAGCCGGCCTTCATAGGTGCTCGCTAACAGCACTTGCCCCTGCAGTCTGTTAAGGCTACACGGGGGATCTTTGTCTTTGTTCTGTGCAGTGGGCGAGTACCCGGTGGTGCGCAGCTTCCCCGTGTCGTCGCTCACCAAGGAGAAGCGCGTCTCAGTGCACTCGCAGCTCCACCAGGACGTGCACGAGGGCCTGCAGCTGCAGTCGGCCACCTTCCAGGTACGGCACCCAGCACCCAGCACCCTGCACGGCACCCAGCACGGCACCCAGCACCCAGCACGGCACCTAGCACCCAGCACGGCACCCAGCACCCAGCACAGCACCCAGCACCCAGCACAGCACCCAGCACCCAGCACGGCACCCTGCACGGCACCCAGCACCCAGCACAGCACCCAGCACCCAGCACAGCACCCAGCACCCAGCACGGCACCCAGCACGGCACCCAGCACCCTGCACGGCACCTAGCACCCTGCACGGCACCCAGCACCCAGCACGGCACCAAACACAGTGCAAAGCACAGCGTCCAGTACCACACCCAGCACAGGATCCAACACAGGACCCAGCACATGCCACTCATTGGTCATTTCCACACAGCTTTATACACACACATACACGCAGCTTAATACACACATAAAGACAACAATCCCCTGTATAGGCTGAACAGACTGTTGGGGAAAGTGCTGTTAACGAGCACCTCTGAATGCCGGCACTGCACACGAGGAAGTGGGTGGCCAACACCACGCCCGGCCGCCTTTGTCTTCCCAGTGGCGATTTTTACACATCACACCAGGTACTCATTTAAGGCTGTGTCGATCTAGGGGAGGACCGGTTCAGATAATCATCACTGGTGTTGGCCATGAGCGGGAATCGAACTTGGGTTATTGGATTCGTAGCGCAGCACGCTAACCGCTACACTACCGCTCCCCTAATACACACGTACACAGCTTAATACACACACACTTTGATACACACACAGCTTGATACACACACACACTTTGATACACGCACACAGCTTGATACACACGCACAGCTTGATACACACACAGACCTTGATACACACACACAGCTTGATACACACACACAGCTTGATACACACACAACAACAACAACCGCCATTCACCACTAAGTGGCGGTGACGCCACCAGGACGCTTGTGCTAGGCTATATGCACCCTGAGGCCACGTGAAGTGTCGAACGCCCGCTGGCAGGAGGTCACGGGGCAGACCCAGGTGCCACGGGTCGACTGACTGAGATGACTGGCTGATGCACCACCTGTGCCCCCTACTGTGCCAACCCGCTGTGCTTCAGCCACCCGGTGCTCCGCTCGTTGTTGTGAGCGTCGCTCCTCCGCCCTCCGTTGTTGTTGGAGGGCGACTACCTCCAACTGCCCAGTAGCGTCCTTCACGAGCCTCCTCCACAGAGGGCCGGTCTTGACACCGCTGGTACCAGTCATCGGCAAGTCCACTCAGCTCCACGTCCTCCTGTACCACGTCACACCATCTCTTCTCTAGCCCGTGCCGCGCCCGTTTAGCCCCCTCAATCCGGCCGAACAAAAGCTGTTTCGGCATGCGGTGGTTGGGCATGCGGGCTACATGACCCAGCCATCGCAGCCTTGCCCGCCGGAGGAGCTCACCGATGGGACCTTGCCCAGATCTTCCAAGGATTTGTGAGCTCCTCACACAATCCAGTCTGGTTAAACCCAGGATGGATCGTAGGCAGGCCAGCCTAAATGTTTCTAACCGGCGAAGATGTTCCATTAGGGGGGTCCACGTTTCGCAAGTGTAGAGAAGGGAGGGAATGACCGTGGCCGAGAAGACCTGAAGCTTAGTGCGGAGCGACAGACCAGGTAGCTTCCACACGGCGTTACGCAACCAATTAAAAGATATTGCCGCTCGACTGATTCGGAGTGAGACCTCTGCTGTTAAACTGGAGCCTTGATACACACACAGGTCTGTGTGTGATACACACACAGGTCTGTGTGTGATACACACACAGACCTTGATACACACACACACCTTGATACACACACGCACTTTGATACACACACGCACCTTGATACACCCATGCACCTTGATACACACACGCAGCTTGATACACACACAGCTTGATACACACACACACAGCTTGATACACACACACAGCTTGATACTCACACACATTGATACACACACACAGCTTGACACACACACACAGCTTGATACACACGCACAGCTTGATACACACACACACCTTGATACACACACAGACCTTGATACACACACACACCTTGATACACACACACAGCTTGATACACACACAGACCTTGATACACACACACCTTGATACACACACAGACCTTGATACACACACACAGCTTGATACACGTGCACAGCTTGATACACACACGCACCTTGATACACACACACAGCTTGATACACACGCACACATTGATACACACGCACAGCTTGATACACACACACACACAGCTTGATACACACACAGCTGAATAAACCCAACACAGAACCCCGCACATGCCACTCACTGGTTATTGGCACGCAGCTAAATACACACAAACAGCTTAAAATGCACCTTCCAGCGAGCCTTCGACACTGTGCATGGCCTCAAGGTGTGCCAGGCTAGGCACACCTAGCCTGGCACACTGTGGTGACATCACCGCCACTGCGACGAGTAGTTGGTTTTCTTGTTGGTGCTGGCCACACCATCCATCCGTGTCTCACCCCAGCCTCAGCAGGTGCTCACTATAACAGCCTTTGCTCCTGTGGTCTTTAAGGGAGTATTTCTAACATCTAACAACTAAGGTTGAATGCTTTTATTGCATTCGCTCCGTTTGTCCTGAATGGGAGGCGATTGTGACGGTCGTAAAGATGATCCAATAATAATAGAGTAGTGTTAAGTTGCGTCAGCTGTTCGAGACTCATCCTTCTGAAATTCGGCCAAATTGATCAAATGGTTTCCCAAACGTTGGAGACGCAAACCAAAGCAAAAACACGACAATTCGCAAACGCGCAAACACATTTACCCTGACGGCTAGCTGCCGGTTTGCAATCAGCTATCCAAATAATTTTTGAGACAAAGCGCGTTTAGGAAGGCGCGTTGCACGGAGTGCTCACGTGTGCATCATTCCCTCCGGGCTTGCCCCCTCACTCTCGGGGGGCAGCTGCTGAAGCTGGGCTTCGACGTGGAGGTCAGCTCGGAGACGGTGGAGGGATTCCGGCGGCACCTGGGGCGCCTGCGATTCCCCCCCTCGGCGCTCGCCACGTTCGCCCTGTCGCACTCCGCCGGCTCCGCCCAGAGTCTGGCCCTGAAGCCCAAGGAGAAGCACAACCAGTCGATCGTGTGAGTCGCGCGACCGCCCACTCGCCCGGCTCACCCGCTCCCTCGCACGGTGCCGCACGCACTCGTCCCGCTGGCTTGACGAATCGCTTGCGGGCGTCCGCTCGCTCGCTCAGTCGCTCTTTTGATCAGGTCCTTGCTCATTCGCTTTTTCACTCGCTCACTCTCTCACGCAGTTAACAGTTCCGAGGTTTCGCACGCATTTCGGATCAAAAGCAATGAATGTAGCTGCCCCAACGTTTCGTCTCTTGGCATCTGCACTACTTTAGTGTGAATGTAATCTTTCAATATGATTGCTATTCTTACTTTTTTTTTCCATCTGTAATTGTGGAATGCTTTGATGTTGTCTGCTAGCCGAGTCGCCCGTGAAAAATAGATTCTTAGCTCAATTGGCTTTACTCACCAGCCTATTCAATATATCCCCGCACCTCCAATTAACACGGTTGGCGAAGTAAGAAGTTCAACAAACATATATACAATCAATAACGCAATTGATAGTTTACATGCTCACTAACTTTCTCAAAGACAACGTTCCCCTGTATAGCCTGAACAGACTGTAGGGGCAAGTGCTGTTAGCGAGCACCTATGAAGGCTGGAACGGTACAGAAGGGGGTGGGTGGCCAGCACCACGCCTGACCGCCTTTGTCTCCCCAGTGGCGATGTTTACACACCGCACCAGGTACTCATTTGAGGCTGAGTCGACCTAGGGGAGACCCGGGACCAGTTCAGATAATCGTCACTGGTGTTGGCCGTGATCGGGAATCGAACCCGTGTCGCCGGGTTCATAGCGCAGCGTAGCGCTAACCGCTGCACTACCGCTCCCCACTAACTTTCTCACCCACTCACTCACTTCGCTTACTGATAGCGGTCATTTCCTGTCTTGTTCGCTCACTCACCGCCCCACACATACGAACCCACTCCCTTATTCCTTTGCTCGCTACCTCCATCACTCGCCCACTTGATCTCTCAACTCACGAACTCAGGCCCGCACTCGTTCACGCGCTCACCCTCGCTCGACCCACGCTCACCTGCGCTGCGGTTGTTGCTGTGCAACTCTCTCCCTGTTGTCGCAGCTCGATATCAAAGAACATCGTGAGGAACGCCAAGGCCGGGATGAGGACCATCGGCTTGCAGATCCCGACCAAGAAGAAGCTGGGCATGCAGCCCGGCCATTGCTTGCCCGTCATGCAGGAAGACGACACACTCTCCAGTGAGACACACGGCTCGCTCCTCCCCCCCTCCTCCCTCTCCTCCTCTCCTCCCTCTCCTCCCCTCCTCCCTCTCCTCCCCTCCTCCCTCTCCTCCCCTCCTCCCTCTCCTCCCCTCCTCCCTCTCTCCACCGTTACTCGGGGCTCACGGCCACATCCTCACACTGATGCCATTCACGTTTAGCATCCGGTGGTATTCGCCACAGGGCATGACCGATTGTGTTGTTTTTTTTGCACTTATCCTACACGTTGTAAAATAACGTTTTACCAACCAGTGGGAGAGGAAATATCCCTGAATTCTCCACTCCAGCGACCAAAACAAGCCCTCAGTCAACCTTTGCCAAGTGTAAGGTCTCTTATGTTGCTCGCATAATCAGGAAATCTCTTTACTCAGCCATCCGTGCTGTTGACTTACTGGCCCTGTTGAATTCCAAGCTCCAAGGCCTTCGGTTTTTTCCCCCCTCTTGCCTATGATTGACCGGCTGCTCACACATGTGGCTGGCTGTAGGTCTGGCTGGCCGTGTGGCCGGCCGTGCGGCTGTGCGTGCGGCCGCAGTCTCTGAGGATCGGCAGCCCTAACTCGTGGAAGCTCGAAAACTCCGCGACTTTGCCTTGTCGACATTGCTCGTGGGTATCGTCGCTGGTGACGCGGCCTTCGTCGTGGCTGACCATGTGGTGCGGCGGGATTGTGCGCGCCCGTGTTGCGTGCGCGCCTGCGCGCGGCCGCAGTTTCCGAGGACGGCGAGCCTCCCGAGGGCAGCCCCACGCTGCGGCCGGAGCGGGCGACGCTGGAGCGGCGCTCGGAGCGCTCGTGCTGCCTCGACTACCAGCGCCTGGGCCTGGGCACGCTCAGCAACAGCCTGAACCGCGCCGGCACCGAGCCCTTCCGCATCACAGCCGCCAACCGCCTCTACCACCTCTGCCACAGGTGGCCGGCCGGCTCTCCGCTTTTGCCTCCCCTTCCCCAGTGTCGTTACGATATGGCCGTTACCGATTTACGGGCAAATCACACGGGAATGCTTGGATGGGCTACCACCGTGCAATAACGGGTGTTTTTATGGGCTGCGGGGCTCCTGTTGTGAGCAGCAGTGTCTCTTGTTGTAGCGGACTTTGATCCCCGCATTCGCCAAGCCACACTGATCCAGCGTGGTGAAGTATGGTCTGATAACCGCTATGACCCGCATGGTGTGGAGAGGCACTCAACTAGCAGCGGATTGATAGAGGGCTGTACATCTGTGTACGTGCTATTATTGGTGTCATGTCATGAGACAAAGTGTCCATTCGGAAACTCATGCAACTCACCACAGGATTTTCGACTGAGAATTGTTTGCCATATGGTAATCGTACTAATATCGTGCTTTATTCTCAGAGCTAGAATTTGGCCGAATTAAGCTCAAAGCAGTTTTTTAAGGTTTTATGTTTTTTTTGCGCATTCATTGGTTACCAGGCTGAGACCATCAATATGCCACGACTGAGAACTCACTTTCATTCTAGATTCAAACCCACGATCTCAGCAGCAGTGCTGTGACCTCTGATCCACCGCGCCACCTTTGACCTTGGAAGCTTCGTCTATGTGTAGATAAGTACACAGACGGTGTCCTCGTGTAGCCAAACAGAATTTTGTGTTGTTTGCGAGAATCTCTGTAGCGTTACGAGCGTTGGGGCAGGGGGGTGCCTTGCCCCCCCCCCCCCTGGTGGCCAAGCCTACGAGTTGGGGGGGCCTCCTTGACAACCACAGTGAGATATATATTCTTGGTTCTTTCGGTAAAGTCACGCTGAAGGGAAAAAATAAAATATATATAAAACAATAAAATTCTCACCACGTTTTGACTGCAACACAAGCAGTCATCATCAGGTGTGAAAATCAACGGCAAGAACATTTGTTGCAGTCGAAACGTCGTGCGAATTTTATTGTTTTATATATATTATTATTATTTTATTGTTTCCCTTCAATGTGACTTTACCGAAAGAACCAAGAATATGAATCACTGCAGTCACGAACGCTTTAAATCACAGTGAGATATCTTCTTAACAACACCAACTTATTTAAAACGCAGTTTACATTAATTTTTATGAACATGCTTTCATTTACGTTTCACGTTTTATTTAAATTTAATTAGAGCAGTAACGTTTGGCCTCCACAAATCGCGCAAATCAAATATCGGGGCCCCACCTGACCGATTGCCACACCCCTCTGAGTCGATAATGTGGTTACGCGACTGGAGCATCCTCCTCTGGACTCCACAATACACGAGGGAGGTGATGTGGCCAGCCCTCCCGCTGTCCGTGCACGATGTATTGATTTAAGGCTGAGCCCGACATGAGGAGGGCAGGTAGCTGGACAGATTCACGTAGCAGACATGCCATTGACGTCAGCCGTGGCTACACATACCTACACGTACCTACACGTACGTACACATACCTACACGTACGTACACATACCTACATATACCTACACATACCTACACGTACGTACACATACCTACACATACCTACATATACTTACACATACCTACACATACCTACACGTACGTACACATACCTACACATACCTACACGTACGTACACTCGCGTACGCACGTCATGCTTCTGGATAGCTTCTACACTTACCGAGCGTGGGCGTCATCGAAGCTGACAAGTTGATATTTTTATAGTGGTGGTGACTCATGATACTAAATATTATGATGATCATGCTGCTGATATTGAAATATTGCTAATGCTGTTTCTGCAGCATCGATGATGATGATAACAATGCTTTTGGTGGTGACACAGACAAAGATGATTATGAGGCTGTTGTTAATAATGACGGTGACGCTGCTGATGATGATAATGCGGCTGCTTTTGCTGTTGATGATCATGAATCTGCTGCTGCTGCTGATGATGATGACGATGAATCTCCTTCTCCGGCTGCATTTGGAATGCTGCTGGAGCTGCTGCTACCGACGATGACACCAATGGCAACGGCAGTGACGATGACGTTAAACGACACTCACGTGGGCAACCTCCTCCCCTCCTGTGCACCGTCCCCACCCCCCCCCCGCCCAGCTACCCGGGGCTGCTGATCGTGCCGCAGGTGGCGAGCGATGCGGCGCTGCAGCGCGTGTCTCGCTGCTACCGCCAGGGCCGGCTGCCCGTGGTGTGCTGGCGCCACCCGCGTGCCCGCTCCGTGCTGCTGCGCTCGGGGGGGCTGCAGCAGAAGGGGGTTGTGGGCGGCCTCTTCCGCAACCCCAGCCCCCACGGCAGCGGAAACGGTGGCCTCGGTGAGCTCTCCGCACCCCCTCGTGCCCCCCCCACCACCACCTCGCCCCCACCCCCCGCCCCCGCCCAACCCTTGGCGAACTGAAATCAGAGACGTTCATGTTTGTCGACGAAGTGGGTTTTTTTTTGTTTCCATATGTTTTGATCGACGGTTGAATTTTTGAGTCGACCGAAGGTTATCGGGAATGACGGTCACTGCGGCTGGTCCAACAAAGATGAAATTACGGACGGTCATCATCACTCTTGTCACCTTCATCATGAGATCCACTGAGGCTGTCCTGGGTAATCAAAGCAGTCATCGTCATTATATAATGCAGTGTTTGTGGCTGCCATGGCAGGCTTCATTGGTCAAATGATAAGTTGATTGATTGATCAGGTGATGGATTGGTTGATTTTATCAGCTGGTTGGTTGGCTTATGGGCAACTGATCAGTGATTGATTGGTCACCTAAATTGATTGGTTGACTGCATTATTCTCTGATTGTACAATTGGTTGGCTGATTGATTAATTGGGTGGCTGATTGCCAGATTAATTTATTTACGACTGATTTATCATCATCAGCTGATTGATTGGTCAGTCAGCTGATTGATCGGATAATTAAAATCGATCGGTCGGCAGTTTGGTTTGATTATTTTGTTTATTGGTCAGTCGGTCGGTCTGACCAATCGATTAGCTTATTTATCGATTGATCTCTTGATTGGCTGATTTGACACCCGAATCAGGTCCGGCCTCGTCCGAGTCCTCTGCGAGCCTGGAGCAGGAGAAGTACCTGCTGGCCATCATGGCCACCATGCCAGGGGCGGCCGCGGAGATCTGGGGTCGCGGGGTCACCGTCCGCGGGTCCCAGGCCAACCATGACGCCGGTGAGACTTCGCGGGCGCTCCTCGCGAACAGCACCCGCCCCAACGCTCCGTGAGGCTGCGGGTTAAGGTGCACGTGTGTGTGTGCAGCAGTCGTGTAGCGGTTAGCGCGCCGTGCTACAAACCCAGCGATTATCTGAATCGTTTCTGGGCCTCCCCTAGGTCGACTCAGCCTCGAATGAGTTGATGGTGTGTAAACATCGCCACTGGGGAGACAAAGACGGCCGTGCACGGTGCTGACCACCTACCCCCTTGTGTGCCGTCCCGGCCTTCATAGGTGGTCGCTAACACCACTTGCTCCTTACAGTCTGTTAAGGCTGCACGGGGGATCTTGTTTGCAGGTGTGTGCATAGTGGGGAGCTGCAGTGTCGTGGTCGTTCCACTGCACTGCGAACACGACTGCTGGAGTTCAATTCTCAGCAGTGGCTAAGATCAGTGGTCTACGCACTGGTGGCTGTTGTTATTGTGCACACACGCACCTGTACGTGCATGTCTGCGTGTGTGTGTGTACACCTTCATGTGTGCTGTCTGTGTGTTCGTGAAAGTTAATCTGTTCCGCATGTGCTTGTGCACATGGGCATGAGCTTATGTATGTCTGTCCCCTCTGTTCTAACACACTGGCGTGGCCTCGCACATTAACACATACATGCTTACCTATTCACTGCTCACACACCGGTACGCTCTCACACAATAATGATAACTTACACACACTCTCACGCGCACACATATGCTCACACACACGCTCACACACACGCTCACACACACGTTCACACTCACACGCTTGCACACACACACACACGCTCACACACATGCACACACCGGCGCACTCGCACTGCAGCGAAGTGGGGCAGCCTGCGCGTGAGCCGTCGCTTCACCAGCACCAGCAGCACAACCAGTGGCAGCAACCAGACGCTGAACCAGACTCCGGCCGATTCGGCGGCCACCACCACCACCACCCCGCCGCCCGGCACGCCCCGCCTGGACACGCGCGGCAAGGCCTCCGGCGGCCGCAACCCTCACCAGCTGCCGCTGAGCATCCACAAAGCGGCACTCTACGTCGTGGGAGACAAGGCCCAGCTGAAGGTGGGGGGCCCCCCCCCCACCACCGCTCCCCCCCACCACCACCCCCACCACCCCTCAAACACGACGATCTGCCCGCTCATCTCTGTGGCCGTCTGGAACGCTCTCCGTTCCAATATTAGAAAACCACTGGAGCGATGCACTTTTAAATCGTCTAGATTGACATTTAATTTATTTGGAACTGCTTTTTGTGTTTAATTTGTTGTCCTTCCCCCGTGCCTCCGATTAGCACGGTTGGCTACGTGCGGTGCGAAAGAAGTTCAACACAGTACATACATTCCACCGAGGTTGCGATTGCCGCCTCTCCCCCGAGACGTTGACTCTAAAGCCGTGGATAGCCAGCCCACTGGGTCACCGACCGCCGTCGTTCCCGCGCTCAGTGTTTTTTGCCCGCCGTCGCCCTCCGACCCCGCAGGGCTGGAGGAAGGAGGGCCTGGTGGCGATGGAGACCATCCCTGTGGACATGGCCGACCTGTCTGCCATGCGCAGCAGCTTCCGCAAGCTGCTGCACGCGTGCTGCCCCAGCTCTGCGCCCACGGACGGCGGCTCCTCCGCCTTCTTGACGGCGCTGGAGCAGTCGGAGTGGCTGCCACAGGTGCCGTCCATCGTGTTTCGTGTCCGGGCGGAACTGACCGTAATATTTTAGCCGAAGGGTTTGGGAATTCGGCTCACTCGCACCTTTTTGATTGTTATCGGGATGCCATCATGGTGCATTCAATTGAAAATGCGTCGGGAAGTTGTCAGATTTGTGAAGCCAATTTGGACTGATAAGAGTGTCGACGGGGAGGCCTTGGTTGCTGGAGGGGTGAGCATGTGAATGTGAGTAGAGCAATGAGAGAGGGGGGGAGAAGGGCAGGCAGCGGGTTTACTCCTGCAGGACCTGGAAGAGAGGGAGCGCAGTCTTGCAGATGATTTGCGAGTTGATTGAGAGCCAGTCCGAGAGATCTGGGGAATCGTTGTGATTGGTTCTGTTCTACGGGTACAGAGGGGGTGACTGCTTCGGCGACGTTCGGAATACTTGATGTGCGCGAGAGAACCACATCTCCCCAGCTAAGCAAACAATGTTTGGTGTCGGTAAGATTGCTGAAAGTGGTAAAAAAAAAATATCACGACGTTTCGATCGCAACACAAACAATCGTCATCAGGTGGGACAACCACAGCAATAACAAACTGCTGAAGTAGGCGAGAGATCTGCCGTGGAACGAGGTTATATAGTAGGCCTCAGCAGTAGGGGGGGAGAGAGAAGGGGGGGGGGGAACCCATAGTGGAATTCAAACGTAGCTTTCTGTTTCTTCCTCTGTCTCCCCCCGCTCCCCCCCCCCCCCCACATACACAATGTGACGTCCTTACCCACAGCTGCAGCGCCTCTTGCAGCTGAGTGGCCTGGTCGTGGAGCTCCTGGAGGGAGGATCGTCCGTCATCGTGGGCCTGGAGGATGGCTGGGACACGACCACGCAGGTACGGTGTAACGGCAAAGATCCCCCGCATAGCCTTAACAGACTGTTGGGGCAAGTGCTGTTAGCGAGTAGCACCTATGAAGGCCGGCACGGCGCACGAGGTGGTTGGTGGCCAGCACTACCACGCCCGGCCGCATTTGTCTCCCTCGTGGCGATGTGTACACACCGACCCAGGACCAGTTCAGATTATTGTCACTGGTGTTGGCCGTGAGCGGGATTCGAACTCGGGGCCCCGGTTCGAGCGCAGCGCGCTGACCGCTACACTACCATTCCCCACACACACACACACACCTGTGAATGTGCATGGCCGCTATGTTTTTGTACATACAAACATAACACTATTGGTAAACCCAGATACTGTCTAGAAACAACAACAGCAACATCAATTGATAGTTGTTTCTGTGTGGGCCAAATGGAAGTGCAATACCCAAATTCTCGTCATTAAACCCCTCCACGACCCAAGGAGATTGTCACATTTACAAAGATACTAGTTACACAGTGGCCAGTGTGTTGATCGAATTCTGATCAATAAAGCGGCTCACCGGCACGTATGTTAAATTCACGTCATGAAAGGCTTCATCTTAGTAACCCACGTAAACTTGGGGGGTACACAGCTTGCAGAGATTAATTTCAAGAATCCGTCGCTGTATTGCTGTTTTCCGGCGACCTCTCCCTGCCCTGGTATTCCCAGGCAGTCTCCCATCCAAGCACTCGCGATCCTCACCGCGGCTTGGCTTCGGGAAAAACGGACGAGGCGGGGCGCGGTCAGGGCCATTCGCTATGAGGCAGACGCGATCGCGTTATCCGATCAACATGGTTGTCTACGTGCTGTGCGAAAGTAGTGAAACATGCCTACGGACGTACGTCCATCCGCGCCCGCCACGGGGTCGGCGGGCGTGCACGCGCCGTCGATTGACGGCCGATGCCCCCGCTGCGGCCCTCCCCCCCCCCCCCCGTGCTCCGCGAGCCAGGTGGTGAGCCTGGTGCAGCTGCTGAGCGACCCGTTCTACCGCACGCTCGACGGCTTCCGGCTGCTCATCGAGAAGGAGTGGCTGGCGTTCGGGCACCGCTTCGGGCAGCGCAGCAACATGGGCGCGGGCGGGCAGAGCGCCAACTTCACCCCCGTCTTCCTGCAGTTCCTCGACTGCGTGCACCAGGTGATTGCCTCCCGCGGCTGCCCGACAGCGGTCTGCAAACCGTTGGCAACGTTCGCTCGGCCCGCCAGCTCGCTCGCTCGCCGGTCGTTTTCCGATCGATCGATCGATCGATCAACGTGACGTTTATAACGCACCATAACTCCGCAAAGCCGAGACGGAAGCACGGATGGTTATAGACCGAGACTAGGCCGTGATCAGCGTTGGAGATTGAAACTAAACTATTGAAACTATTTTTTTATTTTACCAGGTAAGGCCCACTGAGCTGTAAAGCTCATTTTCAGAAGCGATCTGGCTATCACAAATGATAGCTCAATGAAGTGGCTCATCATGCACGCAAACCCACTTCACCCGTTGCTTGATCCGGCTCTTCTCCCCCCCCCCCACCCCCCATAGGTGCAGTATCAGTTTCCCACGGAGTTTGAGTTCAACGATTACTACCTACGGTTCCTCGCCTACCACCACGTATCCAACCGCTTCCGCACCTTCCTGCTCGACTCGGACTACGAGCGCATCGAGCAGGGTGAGCGGTTATGAGCAGGGTGAGCGCGTCGTGCGGGGTGAGCGGGGGTGAGCGCTCAGACGCAGCTCTGGGCAGCGACACGCACACACAGCACATGGTCATCACGATCTCGGGCCGCCGGGCTCCTAGCCCAGCGAGCACACTGTACACACGTGCGCTCGCACCCGCAAACACGCGCGCCCTGAAGGCTGCCGTGCGTGTGACCGCGTGCCGCAGGCGTGCTGTACGAGGAGAAGGGCGCGCGCTCGTGCGGGCAGTCGCTCTGGGAGTACGTGGACTCGCTGCACCGCAGGGCGCCACTCTTCTACAGCTTCCTCTACTCCCCCGGCGAGGACAGCGAGGTGCACGCGTGACTCCGCGGGGACCGCGCGGAGTGTGAAACCTGCACGGGACCCTCGTGAACAGAGAGAGTCTTCGGACTCGGCGAGGCTTTGCTGGGCAAACGGGCGTCATATTCGTACTGCTTTTAATAGTCATCTATGCCTCGAGTTTCCTGGCTGGCTGAGCTCCTCTCCACCCCAACAGTCACTCTGTTTTGTTATTGGCCGTGGGCTGTTGCCACCGAAACTAGCTGAGTAACTGGCACATTTGGCTACGTAAGGTTCGAAAGAAGTTCAACATACACACATACAGGCTGGATTTCCCATGTAATAAATGAGCATTGAGTGGAATTGAAATGGAAGAAATTCAGGTGTATAATATATAGCGACACCGAAGAGGTGGGAGCAGTGAATACAGAGAAAACTGACCATGGTTCATTTAAAATCGCTCTAACTTTTGAATTCGTGCTCCAATTAATGTATTCATTTCACTGGAATATCCTTTAAACTCACAAAATTTGCATTATCTTGGCATTTCATGACGCAAAAAAGCAGGTTACTTTTAGCGATGCGAGTACAGGAGGGCTGTGATGAAAGTACGAACAAGGAGAGCTGTATTCTTGGGTCTTTCGGTAAAGTCACGTAGATAGGTTTAAAGAAAATAACAACAAAAAACTACGACGTTTCGATTGCAACACAAGCGGTCGTCTTCAGGAAAAAGGGAGACAACTGCTTGTGTTGTGATCGAAACGTCGTAGGTTTTTTTTGTTATTTTCTTTGAAGCTATCTACAGTGAGGGGAAAAAAGTATTTGATCCCCTGCTGAATTTGTACGTTTGCCCACTGGCAAAGAAATGATCAGTCTATATTTTTTATGGTAGGTTTATTTGAACAGTGAGAGACAGAATAACAACAAAGAAATCCAGAAAAACGCATGTCAAAAATTTTATAAGTTGATTTGCATTTTAATAAGGGAAATAAGTATTTGACCCCTCTGCAAAACATGACTTAGCACTTGGTGGCAAAACCCTTGTTGGCAATCACAGAGGTCAGACGTTTCTTGTAGTTGGCCACCAGGTTTGCACACATCTCAGGAGGGATTTTGTTCCACTCCTCTTTGCAGATCTTCTCCAAGTCATTAAGGTTTCGAGGCTGACGTTTGGAAACTCGAACCTTCAGCTCCCTCCACATATTTTCTATGGGATTAAGGTCTGGAGACTGACTAGGCCATTCCAGGACCTTAATGTGCTTCTTCTTGAGCCACTCCTTTGTTGCCTTGGCCGTGTGTTTTGGGTCATTGTCATGCTGGAATACCCATCCACGACCCATTTTCAATGCCCTGGCTGAGGGAAGGAGGTTCTCACCCAAGATTTGACGGTACATGGCCCTGTCCATCGTCCCTTTGATTCGGTGAAGTTGTCCTGTCCCCTTAGCAGAAAAACACCCCCAAAGCATAATGTTTCCACCTCCATGTTTGACGGTGGGGATGGTGTTCTTTGGGTCATATGCAGCATTCCTCCTCCTCCAAACACGGCGAGTTGAGTTGATGCCAAAGAGCTCCATTTTGGTCTCATCTGACCACAACACTTTCACCCAGTTGTCCTCTGAATCATTCAGATGTTCATTGGCAAACTTCAGACGGGCATGTATATGTGCTTTCTTGAGCAGGGGGACCTTGTGGGCGCTGCAGGATTGCAGTCCTTCACGGCGTAGTGTGTTACCAATTGTTTTCTTGGTGACTATGGTCCCAGCTGCCTTGAGATCATTGACAAGATCCTCCCGTGTAGTTCTGGGCTGATTCCTCACCGTTCTCATGATCATTGCAACTCCACGAGGTGAGATCTTGCATGGAGCCCCAGGCCGAGGGAGATGGACAGTTCTTTTGTGTTTCTTCCATTTGTGAATGATCGCACCAACTGTTGTCACCTTCTCACCAAGCTGCTTGGCAATGGTCTTGTAGCCCATTCCAGCCTTGTGTAGGTCTACAATCTTGTCCCTGACATCCTTGGAGAGCTCTTTGGTCTTGGCCATTGTGGAGAGTTTGGAATCTGATTGATTGATTGCGTTTTTATGGATTTTCTTGTTGTTATTCTGTCTCTCACTGTTCAAATAAACCTACCATTAAAATTATAGACTGATCGTTTATTTCTCAGTGGGCAAACGTACACAATCAGCAGGGGATCAAATACTTTTTTTCCCTCACTGTACGTGACTTTACCGAAAGACCCATGAATATGAATGCCCGCAGTCACGAAAGCTTTTAAGTCAAGATTTAAGGAGAGCTGTCTCGCAACGGGTTCTCCACTCGCGACAATAACAAGCGTCCGTGCGTCCGCATGCCAGGTGCTGCGCCTGTGCTGCTCCACGGCCGCGCTGCACCTCTGGGGCTACTACACCGGCGAGGCTCTCAGGGAGGGGCCCCCCTACGACCCCGAGCTGCTGCCCGAAGCGGGGCACGGGGCGGACGAGTGGGCGCCCGACGGGGCGGCGGGGGGGGGCGGCCCCGGCTGCGGCACGGCCGTGGCCCAGAGCGGCCGGCGCACGCTGTGGTGGGGCTACGACGCGGTGGCGCGGACTCAGCCCGATGGCATCACCGCCATGCTGCAGGTGCAAAGACAAAGATCCCGCCCCCTGTATAGCCTTTAACAGACCGTTGGGGCAAGGGCTGTTCGCGAGTAGCACCTATGAAGGCCGGCACAATACACGAGGGGGGTGGGTGGCCAGCGCCACACCCAGCTGCGTCTTATCCTTATGGCGGTACCCCGGGGTACCAAATAATACAAACTGGCCGAGGCAATTAAATATTGTATTTCTGGGACACTTTTTTTTTTCCTGGGGTGTAACTTAACTCCTCGACTGGGTTACCAATCAATCCCAAATCAGTGCTACTCCGCGATGTCGCAATGCAGCGAGGAGGATTGCGCCGAAACCCTGAACGCTCGTACGCAATCATAGTACATCGTGAGTACAGCTCGTCGAGATGAGTCGATTTCCGCATCGCCGACCATCAACAGACTAAAAGTGACTGCATCACGGACATTACGCGGGAGCCGGGGTACTATGGTACCCCAGGGTACCACCACGAGGTCCATTTGTCTCTAGTGGCAATGTTTACACACCGCACCAGGTGGTCATTTGAGGTTGAGTCAACTTAGAGGAGGCCCAGAACCGGTTCAGATATTTGTCTCAGGTGTTGGCCGTGAGCGGTAATCGAATTCAGGTCCCCCGGATCATAGTGCGGCGTGCTAACCGCTACACTACCGCTCCCCAGATGCTCGCACGTATGCACATGCACATGAATATAGTTAGCGGTTAATCTGTACGTATTTACGTGTGTAGGATTGTCCGGAAAACCTTTTTTTCTAGACCGCTCTGACAATTTAATTGGATGCGGTGTCATTTGAAAGGTTTCGATGTGAAGTTTTTCATGCGAACGAGGCCGAAGTTATGAGGGGATGTTATCACAATAATTACTTATCTACCCAGAAAAGCCAATAGGTCCGATAATAAATATTAAAGGGTGCCCTGCATTGTGCCACTGGGCTAACGCCAATGCCACTGTATACTTTTAGCTATGGGAGGTAACCGGAGATGCCCAAGGAAACCCATGCAGAACAGGGGGCCACAGCATACAAACTCCACGCACAGAAAGGCACCCGAGTCGGGAACCGAACCCAGGCCTCGTATCACCACTGCACCACCCTGCCGTCTGTGGACAAGTGCTGCTACAGCTGGACGAGTGTAGGGCTGACACTGCTGCTACCGCTGTGTCCTGGCAGGAGATCCAGCGGCTGGAGACGGCTCTGGGCCGCACGGGCGAGCGCTGGAAGGAGACCTGGGACCGCGCCAGGGCCAAGGTTCCCCACACCTCCCCGGTGAGACTGCACGGAACCGAGAGGGGTAGCTTCTCGCACTGCGCATGTGTGTGTGTGTGCGTGCTGTCCCAACGGGGAGTGGTAGTGTAGCAGTTAGAGCGCTGGACTATGAACCGGACGATCCGTTCACGGCAAACACCAGTGACGATTATCTGAACCGGTACTAGGCCTCCCCTCGGTCGACTCAGCCTCAAATGAGTACCTGGTGCGATGTGGAAACATCGCCACTAGGGAGACAAAGGCGGCCGGGTATGGTGTTGGCCTTTATAGGTGCTCGCTAACAGCACTTGCTCCTACAGTCTGTTAAGGCTATACGGGGGATCTTTGTCTTTATCTGTTGTGCTGTTCCAACGGCGGCCGCAGGGCATGGTGCTGGCCACTCACCCCCTCGTGTGCCAACGTCGCTCTTTGTAGGTGCTCGCACACAGCACTTGCTCCAACAGTCTGTGAAGTCTATGCGGGGCAGTGGGGGGTCTTTGTCTTTCACGTGAATACAAATACAGTAGTACAGTGGTACAACGTCACATGTCTGTCTCTCTGGGGATTGAAGTATAAGCAGATGTGTGAAAAGTTTTGGTCTGTGAACGTCTGTAGAGCATGACAGTTTCACGATGTACAAATACATCACTGGGCGAAGCGGTTCATCGGTCCAGGTGGATATGTGAGCAGCCGGATATGCAACATTTTTATGTAGTTACCAGTGTGTCTATTTATCAAAGGGACTGTGGTTAGGTCTACACTGCTCTAAGGTAGCAGAGACCTGAGTTCTATTTCCATCCACAGTTAGCATCAGTGGCAAGCGGTATCTGAACCTGCCTTTGGCCAACACTAGGTGGACTTAAATTAGTACCTGGTGAAGTGTGTAAACATTTGCAATGGGGGAGGCAGAGGCAACCATGAGTGATGCTGGCCAAAAAGCATGCCATCGTGTATTGCGTCGGCCTTAATAAGTGCTTACTAAATGCACTTGCCCCAGTAGTCCATATGGCTATATGGGGAGTATAATGTGCATGTGTGTGTATATATATATATATACCTTCATTATGGTGGCCGCCAACTCGCTCCATGGTAGATTGAGTGTGACAACGCAGGACCGCGAGAGACTGTTTCCGGCTTGGAGGAGGCCTTCACACACGCAGCAGTAGACAGATCGTGGCTGATTATGACGATGTTGGGGGGTGGTACCGTAGCAGCGACGGAGGCATTTAAAAACGAGCCGCTCGCTGTGCCAACAGAAGGGCTCTCTCGTCCCGTCGGGGGCCCCGTACTCGCGTCCCTCTCTCGGGAGCATGGGGGCGTCGCTCAAGGCCCTGGACGCCCCTTTCGGGGACCCGGCCGGGCCCGAAGACGGGGACAGCGTGGCCTCATGGGCCCCGACGTCGTCCGGCATGGACGAGCCGCAGCCGCCGCTCACCCCCGACGTCGACTACTACTCTGGCTTCCCCATCAGCGACTCGGAGCAGAGGTTCGCTTCCCGATACCTCTTGATATTTCCCTCCACCCTTTCCAATTCTGAAAGTTGCAGGGTGAGTGTCCCGTTCACCGCCGGATCTTGGAACGCGCAAGCGACTCAGCGTTAGTTTTATTGTTGAGAGGAGGCGTAGCGCCGCTGTTTTTAGAGGCATTGTACTGTACTCACTGCAGAGAACTATAGCGACACGACCGCACTCTACGTTAGCTGGCGCCAAACTTTGACTTTAACTTACGATTCCGATGAGAATCGATTCCGTTCCGATGACTAAAACATAGGTAATTGGAACCGAATCGGAACAAGACCCGCTGACGTACGTCATTGGGAAATGGTTGATTTGTCTGCATATTTTTCCGCACATTTCATCCACATTTCATCCCCATTACGCCACCGGTGTCATGTCACGAGATGAAGAATCCATTGCTGTTATTGGCAGAGCTGTGCGCGTGGCCCTCTGTGTTGGAAAAACATAAGCGGATTTCACAGAGCTACATCCTGACGTTCCTTTAAGTGACCGCCGGTCCACGCGATAGGAGGCAACACTTGACAACCTACGCTGTCCCGGACAGTAATGTCCTTTGCATGGCAGGCAAACTGATATTGTTTAAGTCTCAGAGTTAGAATTTTGCCAAATTCAATGCAGAATCAGATTTAACTTGATGGGTTTTTTTTGTTGTTGTGTGGAATCACGGTTTAATTACGAGTGAAATATGGCTTTGAGGATTACATTGTGAGGCTCAAATTAAACAGTGCAGCTTGCCTGCCAAGTGCTTAAAGCCATGCTGTTGTTCATCGAGACCCGTTAAACGTTGGCTGCAAGGCTGCAGGAAATCAAGTTGCATGTCACGTGGCTCTGCAGCTCAGAACGTTGTTCAACATCTTTTTGAGATTAGTTTTTCTTTTATATATGGTTGTAACAATCACTCAAAATGTCTGTGCAGGTCGTTGTGACCTCGTGGGCCCCGAGGCTTACGTGATCAGGTTTTTTTGTCATGCAAAAATCTCTCTTACGATTATGGCTGGAGAAAGATAGAGGTGGCTCAGCGGGCAACACGAACACATTATTATTCATTAAATGTACATTTGATGCAGAATTCATACATATTTTTTAATGCATAAATACCCAGCACGCAGCTTATCTGGCACACTGGCTGTAGCCATCATCATCATCATCCCTCTCATGGGGTTTATGCCTCATTCCAAAATCTGCATCAGATGTCCCACGGACAAACTGGGCCCCGTCATAAGACCAAGGAATCTCTACCACTGGCCTACAGTTATGAACCCTGCGCCTATGCTCATTGAACGAATGGGTTGAGTGTTTTTGTTAATTGTGTGTGCAGCACTGCCAACGCAGCAGTAGCATCACCAAATAATTCGTTTAACCAAGTACAGAATGTTCAACTAGACCTGCAGTTGGCGAGGTTGACAAAATTAGTACCAACTCTGCACATCGCCTAAGCAATGTGGAATGTCCACCACTAACCCAGGGCTGCCAGTGTAGATGTGTGCCTCGCCGATGTTCATTTTAGCTGAAAATGCTTTTGGTGTGTAAGTAAGCTTCTACACCTGTGAAGATGAACTGTTCTTGCCAAAAATGTTCTCATTGAAACCAGAGTGGCTATCAGGATGCCTTAGGAGCATTACATTGTGCTCCACAGTGCAATGACGTCAAGACTATTTGCCGCAAGTACCTGGTATGCGAGTACTTGGTTTCTGAGTACCTGGTGCAGTGTGTATACAACTACTGAACTGTAGAGAGAGAGGTGGCCAGCCGTGGTACCGGCCACAACAACACCTCCTCAGCAACGCCGTGTCTGCTTTAATGGGTGCTCACTCACAGCAACTTGCCCCCAAAAGATGTATATTGCAATATGGGAGACATTTGTCTTACGTGTGCGAGGGGAGTTCCAAACAGTGGCTTAGTGGATCGTGCGTGGTGCTACGATCCCAGCGATCTTGATTCGATCCCTGACCACGCGCGACGTCAGCGATGCCTGAACCTGCACTGAGCCTCGTATGGGTTTCTGTGGTGTGGTCATGCACGTTGACACTAGGAAGACAAAGACGGCCAGGGCCCACTGTCTCAGCGTGCTCATTAACAACGCGTGCTCCGTTGGTCTCAGCAGCTGATGTTTGTCTTTGTTTCGTGTGTGCGCAGGTCATACGAAGGTGTCCTCTACAAGCGAGGTGCCCTTCTGAAGGGCTGGAAGGCGCGCTGGTTTGTGCTGGACAAAACGAAACACCAGGTACACGTTCGGTGGGAGGGTGAGTGGGCCGTGAGAGTGAGCGGTATGCGAGGGTGGGTGGTTTGCGAGCTGGAGTGGTACGTTACGGTGGGTGGGTATGTGAAGGTGAGTGAGGCTTGAGGGTGAGTGGTGTGTGAGGATGAATGTGGGTGGGTGGGATGGGAGGGTGAGTGAGGGTGGGAGGGTGGGAGGGTGGGATGGGAGGGTGGGTGATAAGTGAGGGTGAGTGGGGCGGAAGGGTGAGTGGGATGGGAGTGTGAGTGAGTGGTGTGTGAGGGTGAGCGAAGGTAATTGGGATGGGAGGGTGAAGAGGGGGATGGTGTTGAGCCTGTGCCGATGAATGTGTGTTTGTTGTCAGCACAGCAGCTGGTTTAGTCATCTGTGGGCTTACTAGCATGGGCTCACTTCACAATACCATCTGAATATCCTCTGTAAGTGAAAAGATTTTACTTTCAAAATTCTCATTTCACTGCTTAAGCTGTCTAGGTGGAAGAATTGTGCGTATTTCAAGTGTATTCGTCACCTGTGAATCTGTTGGTTTGCAGCGAACCTACGCAGTTATGTCTGGTTCTCCTCTTTCGACATTTTATTTCCATAGAGGCATTCGGCACTGTACATTTAAAATGCGTCTTCTGCCTACACGCGCCAATAAGCAGCCCACGCGGCCCCATTTACAGGCATGTGGCATGCAGATACTGTGCAGGACCCTTATCTTCAAACGCTCTTTTAACTTCAAAGAGCTTATTCACATTCACAGTCCTATTGATTACAAATGTGCTAATCAGTCACGTTTGGCCAGCGGCTGATTAGGATGATGAAAAACTGATTACGCTCCAGTCAGACAATCAACAAATATTAACTTTTTTGGAATGCTTTATCGATCCGTAAGCAACCACTCTTCTCCCTGCCCCCGCCTTCGCCCCAACAGCACTGTTTAAGACTCTCTCTTCTCTTTCCCTGAAAACCTCAAGAACAATTAATATTAATTTCAGATCACCATTATGCTGCCCAGTATTTGCAAGGAGGAACCACAGACAAGAATGGAAGGCCGCCAGGCAGTGAGCTGGTGCCACGGTGGTGAGATGTTAACTACCCCACCCGGTATACAGGAGGTTGTGGGTTCTATCCCGACCCTGACGCCTGCTGTATATTTGGAGTTTGCGGTGTCTTTCTCCCCGTGGTTGCGTGGATTTTTCTCCGGGTCCTCCGGTTTTTCCCTCCACATTTACAATCAATATGCTTAGAGTATTTGGCTGCTATAAATTTCCACAAGATACAATAAAATTATATTAAAACAAAAAACAATGAGCAATTTTATGCAGTCACGAAAGCTTTAATACTTTATTTCCACAAGATGCTAAGCCATTTCGTTGAGCTATCATTTGTGATAGCCAGCTTTCTTCTGAAAAAGAGCTATATACCTGGTAAAAAAGTTTTTTGATCTGCAGTTCCCTTTAAAATATCATTATGATATTTTAAACCAGTTGATTGTTGACTATTTGTTGCAAAAAGGCCATTCGGTCAAACAACTGAGATTTTTGTTTTATTCCTCTTTGTGGCAGTATCTGTTTTAAAATACCTGGTGTTATTTTCTATTCGCCTGGCGTTTCACGTATAATTGCACCAACGCAGAAACTGAACAGCTTATTCGTATTTCATTTGCAGATCAATTTGGCCTCAATGAGCACCTAGTAGAGTGTGTAAACATCGCCACGAGGGAAACAAAAGTGGATGGGCGTGATGCTGACCACCCACCCCCTCGTGTGCCGCCACCGACCTTCGTGGGTGCTCGCTAACAGCACTTGGAAGTCTCGCACGGCCAGACGGCGGATGTGTACGCGCGTGTATTTGCGCGCACGTGTGCCTGTGGCCCTGTGCGTGACTGCGTGTGTGACGACCGTGCGTGCACTCGTGTCTGCCCGCACAGCTGCGCTACTACGACACGGCGGACGACCAGCACTGTAGGGGCGAGATCGACCTGGGGGACGTGGAGTCCGTGACTCCGGCCACTGCCACCCTGGGAGCCCCCAAGAACATGGAGGACAAGGCCTTCTTCGACGTACGTCGGCGCCGCGCCCACCGCTCGATTCACCACGGGTCCTTAAAACGAGGGAACTGAGCTGGAGCCGGGCTCTAATTATTTTTGGGGTGTCGCTGTGGCCAGATGTTTACGTCCTTGCCTGGTGTGCAGGAGGTCGTGGGTTCGATCCCGACCCTAACGCCTGCTGTATATTTGGGGGGTTTGCATGTTCTCCCCTCGGTCGTGTTAATTGCAGTTTGACAATTGTCAAACTACATTTTGTAGCTACATTTGACTGACAAACGGGAGTTAAGAACATTGAAAAAATAACATTTCCAATTCATAATTATCACCACGAACTGAAAACATTGAATGTAAGCCTAGTCATACTTCAAGTACATACAAATTACATTCATGGATTAAATAAATGTAGACAAGGGAGGAGTACTGTTAGGGGCGATATGGTGGCAAGATGTTAACTACCTCGCCTGATTTACAGGAGGCCGTGGGTTTGATTCTGACCCCTGACTTTCCACATGATAAGCCACTTTCAGTTGAGCTATCATTTGTGGCCCGGTCGCTTCTGTTAAAGAGCTACATAGCTCAGTGGGCCTGACCTGCTAAAATGAAAATAGTTTAGTTTAACATGTTAAATTTATTTTTTAAATGTGTTACGCGCACCAGACCACAGGGAGGTTTCACAGCGCTGCGCAGTACAGCATAACAAAGCAACTTTCAATAATAGTCAATCATTTAACTTTCTGTCGGCGACACTGCACTTTTGGAACCCGATAACGGTTGCAAGGTAAACAATGGGCGCTCTTGTCGGCACACAGGTGCGCACCACGAAGCGCGTCTACAACTTCTGCGCCCAGGATGCCGCGTCGGCGCAGCAGTGGAGCGACCACATCCAGGGCTGCCTCTCGGACGCGTGACCTCCCCCCACCCCACCCCACCACACCCCCACCAAGCCGAGCTCCTCCCCCCACCCCCCCCCCACCAAACCGAGCTCCTCCCCCACCCACCCCCCCACCAAGCCGAGCTCCTCCCCCCACCCACCCCCCCCACCAAGCCGAGCTCCTCCCCCCACCCACCCCCCCACCAAGCCGAGCTCCTCCCCCCACCCACCCCCCCACCAAGCCGAGCTCCTCCCCCCACCCACCCCCCCACCAAGCCGAGCTCCTCCCCCCACCCACCCCCCCACCAAGCCGAGCTCCTCCCCCCACCCCCCACCAAGCCGAGCTCCTCCCCCCACCCACCAAGCCGAGCTCCTCCCTCGCGTCCCTAGCGAGGACCCCGCGGTAATTAACGAGCCGGTGAAACCGCTCTCCGTGCTGCGGGCCCAGCGTGGCCCAGGGCGCGAGAGAACGGGCAGTCGGTGTCACGGTGACTTCTGACTTTTAAAGCAACGCTCACGTTTATTTTCACACTCTGCCTCCCCGCGCCCACTGCCGACCCGTCCCTTCTCCGCCTGTGAATGAGACGGGCGGTTGACACGAGTGCAGAAATGATCGTCGGGCTGACGTTCGTTTTGCGAATGGGCACGGGAAGCGGACCCGTTCGCTGGCGCTTTTCAGGTGTAAAACAAAAAAATACGTGACACAATTTGCACGTGTTCTCGCCAGCCTCAATCCCACACAACTGGATAAAAAGCCACGATCAGCCTCAAGCTTCGCTCCACCGACGTCCGCGTAAGGCAACGCCAGGTTCAGTCGGCGAATCGATGGGCAGGATACTAAAAGACTAGTGTCATTTTATTTTTGCGCAACCCGCGTTCGATTTTTTTTATAGAAACGGCGATTAAAAAAAAAAAACTGCTGTTTATGCAAGCATAACATTTTTTTTTCGCTCGTGTTGAAAAACTTTGAATGTTTTGTTGAAAATGCGCATAAGATGTAGGTGCTAGATGGCGCACAAATACCCCCCACACATTAGCCGACAGTGCAGATTAGGCTTTTTTTTACCGCAATTGTTATTCATCTATAAGGCACACATTTAAATATAACGGTTACAGTGCATCGTTCCCGATGTGTTTCTCCCGAGGCCAAATTTTCAAGTTTCACGAAGTCATATCGGCTGTCCTTAAATTCGGAGCAGTTTACATTTTAACGAGGACAAATTAAACTTTAACCTAATAAGAAGTATCTTTTTAGCATACATTTACTATAATTGTGTAGCATTTGAAAAAGTGGTGGATTTTTCTAGACACATGTACTTATTTACTGACTTTGCACTGATTCTTACTTTTGGATGTTTATTTTAGGTGAGATTGATGAAGTTACAGTGCATTGTGCATTTCAGCTTAGCATCCTCTGCATCTTGTGTAGATTTTATTGTGTATATATTACGTGAAATGTACACGCGAAGCGGGTGGCCGTGTGTACGTTTGCGAACCGGGATTTAAAAGCGTAGCACGTTCGCACAAGACTTGCGGTTCACGATCTTATATTAGGAATTTTTTTTGGGTTTTCATGTCCCCCCCTCTCAGTACAGTTTTGGGCACTTCTACGTTCGCAGTTCTAACCTAGTGGGGGAAATTCCACATTCTCGTTCCACGACTCGGTATTTTGGTATTCGGTTTAGTTGAAAGTTAACTCACACACAGTCCGCCGCCACCCCACGATCGATGTGTATCATTGCCGACTGCGTGCGGTGGTAAGTTACGAAGTTGTTCACAAATGTCAGCATTCTTCAATTTATTGGACCACATTGCAAAAAGCTATTTTTTAAGTATGTACGCATGTGTTACAGTACAGTACATTGGTGTCAAAATAAGATGTTGCCCTCCCAAAAAAAGGTCCACAATTATTTGTAAAAATAAAATGTTGAATTAGTCTGGGATATATATGGTGAGTCATATGTTACTTCCCAAACTTGGCTCTGGTTTAAATGTTGCTATTCTGGACAAGCAATTATTTCCCATGCCATATATATCATTTTGTATTTGTAGTAGATTATGAAACACCAAATTGCAATGCGCTTCTGTTGTGTGATTCATTTACAACAAAGCTGTACTGGAATCGGGTTTAAGGGAGGGATTTTTGTTTTACTTAATGCTGTTTGATTTAAGTTATCAGGCATAACTGCAGTCCAGCTTCCATATGAAACGTGGATGATACCATCCATACTCGCTCATGAGCAGCATTTGGCAGGCTCAGTGATGTGGCTGGGTGTCTAAATTGTCAATTAAAATTGTGTTAGAACTATTATCCAGCACTGCAGAGATCCTGGGTTCAAGTCCGAGTTTCAGCCATATGCGATTAAATCAGGTACCCTTGTGCAGCAGTGAGGTGGCAGTCTCAGACCAGTCAACAATTACTGCAGTGGAAACATCTTTGAATCGGTTTTTTTTCAGAGAATCAACAAACAAAACTTAAGTTTGATTGCCGTGAAAATGATCAGCTACAAATAGAAGGGGGCATGAAAAAGTGTGCCCCGAGTGTGTGAGTGAGAGGTCACTTGAAGGGATCCCAGAAGTGGATCAGTGATATCACCTTCCACAGGGCTGCTCACAATTGTTTTACTTAATTCAGCATTTAAACTGAGGTCGGATTGCCATATCATCATCACTCTTTGCAGGGCATATTAAGGGATGCGGCACCCAGTGCGGATAAGAAGTTTCGTGAAGTGGCTCCAAAAATAGTTGCCGTAAAATCATCTTCTGGGGTCGTTATCTGATAGACAATAACTTTACACCGCTCATTCGCTCGTCCGTGAGAATCCTTAAAAAGGAATTTTCTTCATCTCGTCCCATGAGCCAAGAGCACAATTGGAATAACATTGCAGATGAATAGAATTTATTTTATATAAACAATTGGCAAGGCCACAATAAATACAAATGTTTCAAGTACCCACATTTTGCAAAGCGCAGTAGTAGCTTTTACGCTCGTGCACCCCAAGTATGAATTCTGCCTGGGCTTTTTGTAAGCTACTTATAATAAGTAAAAGAAAGACAGCGCACTTGACACAGGGTTTGGGCGATCGCTCATTGCAGACATGTGATGAAATGCCACTGTCTCTCGTGGACAGCGACTGGGCACGCTTTGCGTTCTTGTGTAACGGTGGTTGTGTTTGAGCAACTTTGGTGGGAGCCCGCCGGTTGTTTACACGTTGCGAATTGAAGTCTAGATCACAATGGAAGCTGTTGTATTTTCTCAGTTGTATTTAAAAGTTTGCATGCTCGTTTTATGGCTGACGTGTTTTTAAAATGTAATGGTAAATTAGCGAAATAATCGCAGTGCATTTTAATTAAATAAAGAAAGCCACTGCACAAGTAAACATTTCAAATGTGCATTTAAAAACTATAGTAAGAATAGCATTTAAATGATTTAGTATTAAAATTAAATTATTACATTTGTTTTTACCTTCAAGCAATGTGTTGCTCGACCGGATCAGTGATAACGGTAATAACAGTACAACAGCTTGACTTTGGAGTGTTTTTTTCGCAGTTGTGCTATCTAAGCTCTCCGATGGCATTTTCGGATTGTACCGTGTGTTATTCGGCACTATATCGGACGTTCCTGACGAAGCTCCCAGCACGCGGAACGAAACATCGGGACATCTTGCCGAACAAAACTCACGTGCAGGTGCGCGACCCGAAAACATGTCAGAGGGAAAGCGCAGCTTTGGGAAAACGACGCCCCAAATAAATTAACCCGCGTAAAAATTACATAACCACGCATCGTCTTTTCTAGCGAGCCCTTAAACTGCACACAGCGGGGAGACCATATTTAGCCGATTCCGAGTGATTGTGCCATAGCACTGTGTGCCTTTCATCAGTTCACCAGACCAAAGGGGGGTTTGTTTATAGAGACTCGAGACTCTGTGAACGCACTTTCACACAAGGGGTGACTCTTATTCTTGAAATGGTGACCTGCGTGTTTCTGTTCGAATGGAAGAGCTATAGTCGCAGCACTCATTTCTGCTGGTGGTCCCCAGTCGGCAGTGGAAATTCCACATGTCAATGCAAGGGGCGGCGGGCCCGATTATCCACAATTGACTGCCCACAACGTCGTCCTCATATTATCGTCCCTGGAAGGATCATGGGTTCAGCTGAGTCCGCTGAACCCATGAACTTGCAAGATTCCGATGGTGAGTTTAGCACTTGGACCACAGCTACACCCGGCCATTTATAATCATGGCTTTTATCTAACCAGGAACACCATGTTGGGTCTGGGTCTCCGGTCTGTATATGTTTCGCATGTGAGAGGAAACCAAAGTTCCGAGAGAAAAATAATCAGAAAGACACTTTGTGTCCAGCCCACAGTTTGCACCACTGGTAGAAGAAAAACACTGCCTTGTGTGAAACAGCATTTGAATACCGCGCATCTTAACGTAAAATACTCAGCTCGGCGTAGCAATGCCAACTTGTATTGAGACTGCGATGAAGACTAATGCACAAGTGCTTGTACCATGATTAACACCTGTGATCGTTTAATATGCTCGAGTTGTACCCGCGTGTTGTTCGGCGCGATGTCCGACGTTTCACTCCACTTGCCGAGAACTTCCGGTTCAGTTCTAGGTGTTGGGATCTTCGTATTCAGCTCCTGATTAAGCTCCCAGCATTTGGGGGCAAAACGTTTGACACGGTGCCGAACGACACGCGGTAACAACCACACAGATCGGAAAGCTTCATTCACTCCATCAGTTGTAAATATGTGTCTGCCTAAGATTCTGGGTATTGGAGCATTAGCGGCCATCACTCGTGAACATTGATAAAGAAGAGAAAGGTATTCTTCATTCTTCGATAGACAAAAAGGCCGGTTTTTTTGTTGATGGACGAATTGGAGGTGTATCGATATCACTTTATGCATATGAAGGTTTGTCGCTGTGATTAACGTGATGGATATTGTGAAGGTATATTTAACGTAGTTGCTGTATGTTCATCTCATCTTGAAAAAGTTACTTTTTTTTGTTTTACAATTTTTGGGGTTTAAATATATTTAGACAGCCATTGTTTACAAATTTAAAATGTGTGCTTATTTATTTTGTAT